AGGAACCCGACGTCGCCGCCTCTTAAAAATGTCCACGAGGCCACTCTCCTTCGCTTTGCTTCGCATTGAACGCTCGCGAAACCGTTTTAATACTCCTGTGAGTTCGTAAAGTGAACGTGGAGACGAGTCGCACGTTTCGAAAAAGGGTCGAAGTGGTACTGTGTTGGAGAAAGATGTTTGAGTTTCTACGTTTGTTCGAAATTTCTCTTAAGAGAAAAACTAGTTTACGATAGCGTAATCTCTGCAGTGTAGTTTATGTTAAACAATTTGCTTTGATCGTATTTAATATAAGAACTCGACTGCCCTTGATTTCCCTTCTCGGCGCATTAATTTTAGTTTGTGACCTGGGAGACGGCAAAAATGTGTTGCTTAAGATGTTGAAATGAAGTTGAAATATTTAATGAGATGTACTGTGGTTACGTAGTAGATAACAGGATGAAGAAACTGGTGACGTAAAATTTCAGGGGAATAGACCAGCCTTCAAAATTGATCTGAGTGCGAAATATTAAAGTTAAAAATGCATAAATACTTCTGAAATGAAACTTTATTTAGTTGGTAATTCGTGTTATCACAATTTGTTTACCATGTTTTTGGAAATCCATTCAAAACATTACAATTTTTTTTCACACAGATAATGATGTTAGTTAATCGTAACATATCCTCGGATATTTGAAGCCCTGAACCCTCTAGTCGAGGCGTCTGAAGAATGCGGTCGATCCTGTTTGTAACCCAAAACCCGGTCTATTTGTGGCTCTTTGATTGGTATGCTTTGATCGCTTCAGCCATCGCTTGCCCCAAGACTGCGGGCCCTGCCGACTTCCGTCCGAGCTCGCGTCAGCGCCTACCACGCCCCCTAGTGGCAATCGAGGGTGAATGAGCGCATCTGGTCTTTGGGCTTTCGATCTTTCTTTCGTTGCTGTAGCGATTCGCTGCCTGATTTTGTGGGCCTTTTAAGAATATCCAAATCCTAACCGAAAGCTGTTCTAACGTAGATAAGATCCGAACTTCTGTGTATGAGAAAATCTATAGGTTGTGAAATTCTGAGGGAATATCGTCGGTGAAAAGAAATGTGGTTAACGAAAATAAGAGACGGAGTGAATATAAAATTCCTGTAATATTTTTTTTTCTGTTTTTATCGATTTCAAGTTTCTTCTCTCTTTTCTTTCTTCTTTCTTTTTTTCCAAGCATCTCAAAAACATTTTACTCTACATTGTCTTTAAGATTCGTAGAGGATAATTCCACATATCCTGTTACTTACTAATTTATTCATTTGGTACCTCATACTTGCTTAATATTTTTTATCCGAAACCAATATTCATCATTTGATACAGAATTCAATAATATCATACGAAATTTATTCATCGGATTGTTTTAACTACAGAAGCTAAATAACTTGTCCAGTTTTCTTTCGAGAAAAACACTATGTAGCCCTCAAAAAAAAGTACGGCAACCCCTGCTACATCACGGCGCAGTCGTCTGCTGGCGGTGTGTAAACAAACGCTCGTCCCAGTCGCGCCGCAGTGGCTCGCCGACCACAGCGTGCCCATCCGCGCTATTATTTCTACACCAGGAATCAAACAAAAAACATGAAGTTGCTGGCCGTCCCCCCCTAAGGTGTGAAAATAAACAAAAAAAAAAAACACAGCGGTCGTGGAGTGTGTTTCTCCTCTTCGTATTCAGCAATTCAACCGCTTCCCTCTAACGTATTCCAAAAAAATCGCAGAGGTTTTTTCTTTTCTTCTTCTTCTTCCTTCTCTTCTTCTTCTTTTCGTGGTTATACATCTTGAATTGCCTGCATCTTGACATGGATCTTGACTTGTTTGATTGCCGATGAATTTTAAAATGGATTGCTGTGTGATGTGTCGCGTCTGTTTTCGAAATTCAAAAGGTCAAAAATGGATGTGAAATGAACGAAAAGAAATCTGTTTGGGGAATTTCTTTTCTCTTATCAGCGAAACTGCAAACGAGTATTGGCAACTTTCCTTTCCGGCTTGCGATTCTTTTAGAGAATAAAGGCTAAGTGAAGCCAACACCCAGAGAGAAACGTGTTATTGCCGCGGAATGGGAGGGAATTACTCTAACTACGTAGCCCCGCCGCTTTCGTATTCCTAAATATCGCGTGACTCTGCATAACTTAAGTCACCGCAAAGCTGCGTTCTTACGAAGAACGACCACGTATTCTGGAACGCGAGATGGAGCTAGAGCAAAGCGCGCGAAACAGAAAGGTCGGCGGTAAAACGGAAGCGCACCGCTTGAATAGCCGGAGAGGCAGAAGAGCCCTCGAAAGTCGCTTAACTGAGGAGACAGGTTGTCTCGGACGGCTCGGCGCCGCTGCAATGATTCATTGTGAGGGCGGCAACTGGGCTTTCACTTCGCACGACGGACCGACTGACTCGGAAGCCGGAAGCCGTGGCCGTGGGAAGCGTTGAACGACGAAATTAATTTAACTAAGCGCCGTTGCTCGGGACACGCGCCGTGCCGCCGGCGCCGCCTCCTCCGAGAATTTCCCGAGTTGACATTGGCATTCCCTCGCTCCAGTCCCTACCCACACCCCAACACCTCGTTCGTTCTGTCGGTCACTTCCCGCATAACAATGACTAGGGGTGTGCCGATTAGAAAAAAAAAGGGAAAAAAAGAAAAAAGAAAAAAAAAGCTACATATCTTGAGCTACCCCACAACTGGCATCGACTTTTCTGTTCATCCTCGTTCTATGTTAAGATACTCGTACAATACATTAAATGGTCACAATTTAGGGTTTTTTTTTCAGCCAAAAAAATAACGGATCACTTTCATTGGGTTAAATGGAGGTAAAATCTGCGTTGTGTGATTAACAGAATCTAGGACCTTAGACCTCCAACACGCGTTACGTATACCAGCTGGCTGTGAATAGACACTTACGCTTTTCTGTACTTGACTAACGTGGGGTTACTAGACAACCATCCGATATAAAACACGTACGGAAGTCCAGGGACAAACCTCTTGAACGAGTCAAACCCTCATGGGGTGTTGAGTCAATATATATTTATATTACTTTTTTTAAATTTATGGCTTGTACTTGAAGATACACGAGACATCTTAAGAAAAAAATGAACATTAGGAACTTCAGCGGAGAATTTTAGCGTTTGCGAAAAACTGGCATACCAGTTGTCTGTGATGACGTGTAATGTCTGTAACAGACGTCGAGATTCATCGCGAGGACGGAGAAGGCATAACGCGTGGCACGGGCCAGTGCAGGCGTCGCGATAACCCTGCCTTCCGACGGCGCCCGCTGCTACTCAGCGGGCCTTGCTTGTCCCGAGCGTCCCCAGCGAGTAGACTTCACTCTTCCGGCTTCGATTTCAGACTTCGCTAGTAATTAATTTGCGGCTCTGGCATGAGGATAATTTTGGATTTATTATTAAATAGTTGGTCATGTAAACGGAGGTTTCGTTTATATTGTGACTATTAAAATTAGCCTCCATATAGTGAATTTTAACGAACGATGTATTTTAGAGATTAACTTTCAAAAAAAACACGTTGTGCATTCCTTGCCCAACAGTTCTCTCCGTGGTTCTAGTGAAAACATGTTTTAAATAAAAATTCTTCCAATCTGGAATATCCTAGATGGATCATTTTTCAGTTTCATCAAAGATGTAATGTGGGAGATACTGTCGACTTGTTTTTCTTGTTCCATATTTTTATTCGCATCCGGTTCGATTCCGCAATATCAGCTGACCCAAAATCCTCATGGCGATTCGGACACAAATAGCTTCAAATTACATTCCGCTTCCATGCAAATGCTGCAGGCCTCCACCACATCACGTGTCCCGCCATTGCTCCCAACCAGAGGCAAGTGCGGTCTGCTCGATCTTGGTCAGGCGATTCAGCGTCGTTATCTCGTAAAGGTCAATTGCGCAACGCGAAACAAAATTAAGTTGCATGAATTCAGCAACTTCCAGGGCACCCTCCTCTATAATTGTCTCCCTTGGGTCTCTCCGCAGCTTTTTCAGCTTCGTATGCGCGTAATTTAATACTTTAACGAGAACATGATGCCGATTAGTTCATTGTTAATGGTACGCAGAGACCACGCTATGAAAAGCAAACACACAAAGACATGCACAGATTGTTAAATTTACCGTTACTTAATGGAAAACTCCTATTAGAATTGGTTAGTTTGCAGTTTTGCATGTCAAAAGTTTTTAGCGTACAAGGATGAAGTTGCTAACACTTGATAATGTTTACGATATGTAATGTATACGATAAAACTATAGTGTTTATTACATATAGATTCTTTTGGGAACTGCTGATTTACAATCTTGTATCGCGCAGATGTGAATGTTCTGCAAACTTGCTGGCTGTTGTGAGGCACAAGAGCATATGCGCAAATATGAGATTGAATCTTTTTACTGGCTTTAACACGAAAATCGAAGTAAAAGATACAGAAGTACCAAGGTGATTAACTCATTCCTGAATTTCTCAACATCTTCAGACATTTATATTGTGACGCCATCTTATGATGTTAGTAGGTGAAGATACTTTTCGAAGACTTAGAATCACTTCTTTTATTATAGCAGAACTACGAAATGCTGTGTGCACGTTTCCGGGCGGCCTCACATAAGAGACTTGGGAAAAAAAGACAAACAAAACCACGAACGATAGCGAGAGAGGCATTAACGAATATAAACAGTATTAATGCAAAACTTCATTAAAATTTGCTCCATTTTATGGTAATTTATTGATGTAGTGGCACTTCCTTCCCTCTCTTCTGCCGACGAGCCGCCACGAGTTGAAGGGTTTATGATGGATTTGGCGGCATGTGCAGTAGGCATACCGCGGAGTTGGCCGAAATTGGAGCACGGCGGTGCCTGAGAGTCTGCGGGGGCGGGGATGGATAGGAGGCTGTGCGGGAAGGAGCGCGGGCGCCGATAGCGCCAGCGGGCGGGGGCGGGGCGTCGGCGTATTGATCAGACAGCGGCAGCGGTGTCGCAGCGCGCACCGCCCCGGCGGCGGTTGTGGTGGTGATGGCGGTGGTGTGTCGGCCGTCCTGCAGCCCGCCCACGTGCGAGGCCCTGACCCCAGGTCAGGCGCCGCCCGCTGGCCACACCGAGCTCCAGCTGACCTCAAACGGCGACCTTGCGGTACGCCAGCAACGCTAGATATTGGCCCTCTATGGACAGAACGGATTTCGGGCTGTGCCCGTATAAGGCGAGGGAGATAATGGGCGTGTAATTTGAGTACCGCCTCGTCAGTTCTGTTGTTGGAGGGAAGGCGTAGCGAAATTTGAATGTCATACATTGTGGTAAAACGAAAGGAATTGGTTGAGAAGACTGTTTCTCCTGTAGTGGCAGAAAATGTAAAGTTCGTGACTGGTGTTTACCGATGTGCTGTTGCGTTACAACTTACAAGGGATAATTGGATGAGCTCTTAAGTTTCCTTTCGCATTTTGGGTTTTGACAAGCCTGCCTTTTATTTTTTTCTCTCGTCATTATTTCCGCGGTTCTCAAAAGTAGGAATTTTGCTGAATATACTTCAGGTTTCCTTACGGATTTAGGATTTTCACACACACCTTCGTTCTGTTTATTCTCTCATCATTTTGAGATATTCAGTGGAAGAACACAGATTCCAGAAGTCAGATAGTGAGTTCTGAGTTCGTTAAAACATAACGCTACTTCATTCCAGCAATATTTTTGAGTCCCCTTCTGTGAGAGGCTTCTTCGACCTCAGCAGAATACCGATGAGCGCGGTTCGTCTCGGGAACGGAATCCAAAGTGCTGCGAGGCGCGGTGCGGTGCGGTACGGTACGGTGCGGCGTTGTGGTGGGCGCGAGACCGGTTCGGAATCGGACGGTGAAAGCGCGCGAGGAGGCCGACACTTGGCGGCGATCTGGACCGCTTGCGTCACCCGCGTTGCACCACGGCGCGGACGCTGCGTCGGCCGCCCTCGCAGCCGCTCGCTCGCATCGCGGGGCGAAGCTCTCAGGCCTGCCGTCCTTAAAACGCGTCGTACGAAGTTCACTTAGTGTACAGATAGCATGGATCTCTCAGCAGACGTTTTAGCTTACGTACGAGTTGCATTTGATATAGTGATAGCAATAAAAGTGAGAAAGCGCGGCAGATTGTTACTAGAAGCTGTGTCAATTGAGTTTTTCTGTTAAACCAATCCACGCGCGGTGTATGTATTTAAGAACGCTGATTTCTGGTGAACTCGAAATAGTTTTCATTGCTCTTACTTTTGAGTTTTATACCCGCAATAGACGTTGACTCTTCAGTTCATGTGGAACACATGAATTGAGACGTCATAGGGGAGGGGGATGAGGGAGGAGGTTAAAATCCGTGGTTTTAGAAACCATAATGTTGAGCTCCTGCCCTTGTAATTCATATTACCTCGAGTATGAGTTCGAATGCATCCCGAACATCGTTATACATAGCACTAACAATCAATATTTTCTTGATGATCGGTCTGTTACTAACCGGACTGGTCACACTGCGGTTCTAAGGAGGACTGTGCGATTTTTTCGTTCGCTCGCATCTGTAGCGTTCCAACGCGCCTTCACTGAAAAGCAATCGCTGCCGCCTAGAGGCAAGTGATGCGATATCGATAACAGAACATTGGTGTTCAAAATTCTATGTTTAAAACTGGTTTAATAACATCTAAAATTACATTCGGGCGTAACAAAATTTGATCTCACAGTGGCTGTGTTTATTAGTTTATAATTAAGATTTAACATAAAACAAGATTAAAAAAATATTAGGAACAACTGGATGCTTGATGATGATAGTCTAAACAGGTTTCGTTCGGTGCGAACTCATAAAAGTGACAATGGTGCCATCAGTTAAGATTTCGTTTAATTTTTACTCGGTTGTGAATACAAAAATTTCTCATTGGCAAACACATCTAAATCCTTAAACATCGAGCTCAAATCATTGATATTAAAGTTACATCACCTTTAATATATCGATGTTTAAAACTTTTTTTTTTCTAGAAAAAAACTGATGTTTTGAAAACATAGGCATCGATGTCGCATCCCTTCTAGGGACCTTCTTTGGCAGGCTGGCATCAGAGCTGAGGCTGAAGCCAAGCGGGTGCGGCAGTTCGTGTAGGCAGCGCTGCGGTCCCCGGGTCAAGGAATCACCCCGCACCTCCCACACACTCCACTCGCCGACCATTGCGAGTATGCTGCTCCCGTCGCCACGACTACTTGGGATACAGCGACGGAACGTAAAGAGATTCGACGCTTGTCTGGGCGTCGAATATGATTGACCCTGTTTTTCAGGCCCGCCAACTCGCGGATTGTTTCGCCACACGTTCTGTCGCGATGTTGAAAGGTTTGTGTGTTCTCGATTAGTACCCGAGATGCTGACGTTCTTGGCATCGCCTCCGGTTGTACTCGAAGACCTGCACGTTCTTTTTCCCAGTACGCTTGAGAAAGTATTGAATTGAAGCATTGTTTGATGTTAGCTGGCGTTCTCTAAGCCGGATGTGCATTCCTAGAGCTACTTCTTGTTCTTGTCTTTTGAATGGGAATGTTAGGCAAAAACCGTTAATCATCCTGTCGTAACTACTGCAGCATTTTTTTTTTTTCGTAAAGCTTGTGTGTAAAGATATTCTTTATCCTGTGACCTTTACCCTGTTGCGAGTTCTTCGTTCATGATGCAATTATTATATCACTCTATATAACGCGGATTTTACTATCATTTGAGGATATACTTTGTATCCCCGATAAATTATGCATGTACTCTTTGAAATTAGCAAAAGAGTAATTGAAAATCAAAGTCCAAATTAATATTGAATTTACATACTTAATCGTCTATTGATTCTGTTATAAACCTCCTTAACCCATTACGAACATACAATACTATCTGAATGTAATATGCAAACGACCTAAAGGTCGATGAGAACAGAATCTCAGTGAATTTTGTCCCAGTATGTTCGCAGCTAGCTCTTTAGGAATTTAATAATTCCTTATTTAATTCCTCTATTATTAAATAAGGATTAAGGAATATAAAAAATAATAAAGCTACAAAAATGTAATATTCAGTCTTGCCGCCACGATCATTTTCTCTATCGCCCGACTTGTTGGTAAACACATTTTGACCATAAAAACTGTGTTTTTTGGACTTGATAATTCTAGAAATATTTTCACATTAAGACGTCTCATGAGCAAACAAGTAAAATAAAAAATCTTATTCAGAAGCATCGGAATTCATCACGCTGTTGGCATAAACTGTGCGTCCGGCGGGATCAAAATGTCCATTTATTTATTGAGGAGGCAATCTAATTCTCAAAGTTAAAGACGTAAATCAATGTAACATTGGTTTTTAAATTACATTTTAATACCGGCAATGCTAAATATTTTTTGATTTCTTCAATAATCACTCGTGAAGCGCAAAATCAATTGCATAAAATAAGATGATCAATCATTACCTAATGAAGTTTTATTTTTCTTGTGCACCTGCTCGTGCGTTAAACTTCCCTAGACCGAAGTGGTCAACTACTTTGCAAAGCCGCCCGTGGGAGCACGCGGCGGGATTACAAGCGCCAGGAGGGCAGGGCGGGGCGGAGGTGGCTTGGGCGCTGTGTGGGTGGGAGCGGTCGAGGCGATGCGATGCGACGCGATGCGAGCGCTCTGCGCTGGCAGCCACCCACCGCTTCCTGGATCCCGCGAGCTGCCCGACCGTCGCGACGCCCCCGCACCCGCGCGCGTGCCGACACGTGCGCCTCCCCCGCGGGCGGACCCGGACTTGAACCCGGGCCCGCGCGCCTTGAGCCGGCTCGCAAGCTACCATTCCTCACCTCTTTGTTTGGAATCTGAAGAAATGACGGCGTCTGTGGTGGAACGGTTAGCGTGTCGAACTGTTGTGGTTGGGTTCAAACTCGATCGGTTTAAAGGGCGAAAAAATCCTTCGTACACCTTCCTTGGGAGTGGAAGTAAAGATGGCTGACCCGTGTTATAGATCTACTGCATGCAAAAGACTAAAAGATGCCTCTGAACAACATTCAAATTTGTTTCGTCACCCCCATCCCTCTTTCTCTATACGTCTATAGCCAACTCCATTTTCGAAGCAATTGCACAGTGGCAATGTTCTCAATGTCACGTTGCAACTGCAGGATGCGCTCGCCCTGCTTCGCGAAATTAATACAAGGCGGATTCGTTTTCTTCTTGGGTTCCGCCACTGAGAGCAAAACCGCGTCCGGTGAGGTCATTGCTTCAGTCTTCAAGTCGCCTCGCTCGTGATTCACTCCGTCAACCACAACTCGTAGCGATGTAGGATTCTCCTGCGTCTTTGTGTACTCGATTGTTAATTTCATGATGAAGAGAGCTTCATCTCTCTGCTGTTTATAGATGTGCGAAAATGTGGAAACAATAATTGTATGTATATACAATACAATACAATAATTGTATAACAATAATTTTATTGTATACACGTCACCTTGTTTGCCGCAATTACACTCGCAGATGTGTTCCGCCATAAAGAAATACAAATTATGATCATTTTACTGAGTAACAATATGCATTCTTTGTACAAATTAAATTATTAAATGAATATAAGTATATGTATTGCTGACCAGTTCTTTTCTTATTCCAACCTCCGCCTACAGTTTTCCTGTTGCTCCCCCTCTCCCGTCCCATGCTTCGTGACGTGCGCGTGTTTCTAATGGGAGCCGTTCTGTGTGCGCAGCGGCATCTGGACAAAGGCAGCGACCTGCTGGAGGAGGCGGCGTCGGCGGGCCCTGGAGCGGGCCCGGGGGCCGGGCCGGCGGCCGGGGAGGCGCCGCGCTCGGCCTCCAGCGGCGGCCTGCGCGAGCTGGCGCGCTCCCTCAAGCAGCACCTGCTGGGCTTCAGCGAGCGCCTGGAGGACACGCGCGAGCGCCTCGAGGACACCTCGCGCTGCTTCTGCCTGCTCGACAAGGTGCGCAACACGCTGCTCTGCAATGGGCGCTACTGATGCAATGACTGCGCAAGGTCGGGAGCTGGGGAAAGAGGCGGTCTCTGTCATCCAATTGGGAGCTTCGTTACGACTTCAATTTTTGGTATTGACGCTCTCGAGGAAATAACAGTATCCACCTCTCCTTCCAGCTTCAAATATTAGGGAGTCACTACAAATTAAATTGGATGCGCAGAGTGATGAGGTGGGAGCCGGGGGAGGGGACATGACCCCCTCCACCTAAACGTTTTCAAAGGGAAAATTGCAATATCCGGAAAAAAATTCTGTGAAAATTCAGAATCCGTGATTTTCCCATTTTTTTACTCTATAATCAGTGTTTTTTACAATTGTATTTATTTGCCGCCATAGAATCAGCGGAACTATTGTTTTATGCTGCTATTTGAAAAAACCATTAGTTAATAGTAATTATTAAATTTATAATTTAATTATCACTGCAGTATATTTTATTTACTAGTAAGATAGTAATTTGTAAATATAAAAAAGTTTAAAAGGGACGCAAAAATGTAGTCCCCCCTTCTGTTTTAGACTGCGCAGGCCTATGAGCAGATGAATTACGCCATGTAGTGATGGAAATCTCGAATGAGTAAATTCATAGATTGATCAATGAAATTTGACATTCAAGAATAAATGATTTGCTTGATGAGAGATATGGCGAGTTAATGAATTAATGCGTATTTGAGTAATTAATTAAATAATACACTGAATAAAACAGTATAAGGAAAATGTAAGACTATGAAAGGTGGCTGAGTGAACTAATAAATCAATACCAATATAAAATTTTTGACGCGTAATACCTCCTCTGAAATGGCGGAACATACTTTCTTTAAGATCAATGTTATCACAAATATCTTTGTAATACGTTCCAAAAGAATAATTCGAATTATTTTTTCTCAAAATATATGAAGTTATGCGATACCGAAAACTAATTCTCCAAAAGAGGACTTTTGTAATCAAAACATTGAGTTTTAGTTTAAGGTTCAATCTGCCATTATTTTACAAAATTCCCATCCATAGTTGTAAAAAAATAGAAGAAAAATTGCAGGGAGCACGTTAGTTAGAAAGATTAATCTCATTGGTTCTGTGATTTTCTATTTATAATTTTTCAAGCAAACTCATTCAAGTGTTATATTAATTTGCTCAAAAAGGTAAAAATGTGATTGCAATACAAGCCGGTGGCGCCATTCCGGAATCTGTTGGATTGATTTCTGAAACTTCACAGTATACTATAACACAAAATCATTTTTCGGGTAGTGAAAAATGAGAGAGCGTACCCCTGCTGGTTGTCGTCGTAAGATAAATAAGTCAGATTTCCTTATATTTGAAAAGACCCTTAATAAAAATAGATAAATTCGTACTTGTCGTAGTAGACGAATGAAAGCGAAAGCGTCCGCGGCGGGTGTCGGCAACCACGTGGCTGTCCGGGGGACGCCGCGTCCTAGGCGTAGATACCACCTGCGCAGGTGCGTTTCGCCCCGAGGAAGGTCGCAGAATTCGGGGCCTTTGTCGTTGGCACCTGAGCCTAGGACGCAGCGTCTCCCGCACACCCAAGTAGCTGCGTAGTGGACTAGTTTCGTCGAAAAGCCCGGAGGGTATTCCATTCAACGAAGGGCGGTCCCTCCTGCGCGGCCTGTGGCTTCCCCGAAGCGCCAGCCTCCGCCGCGATTCCATTCAGCGTGGCTGACGCGCAGGCGTGTGTCTGTCTCGCGTGCGCAGGCGTACGAGTGGGCGCTGGAGACGATGAAGTACATGTCGCGCGTGAAGGCGGACGACGCGCAGACGCCCGAGCAGACGCTGCAGCAGCTGACGCGCCTGCGCCAGTACCTCATGGCGCACCCGCCCGTGCCCGACGACCACTTCCAGGAGATGCTGGCTCTCGCGCGCAAGCTCGCCAACGACAAGCTGCTGGAGCAGGCCAAGGTAACCACGCAGGAGACAAGCGTCAACATCTGTAATATATACTAATAAAAGTGAATTCAACAGCATCCAACAGACATATTCACCAAAAAGTTGGTTATGAATAAATACGAAATTTTTACATACTCTTCTTTAGTATTGTCCTTGCAAAGTTTAGTAAAGATTAATGCAGCACTGAGGAAAATAATTTAAGTAATGTGTTGGTAGATATACCACGATTATTATTTTGGGCTTGTCGCTAAGAGTAGATTGGTTCCTAATATGTTCCACCAGAGGTCAGTATCGGTGGAGCAAAGCTGGTACGTAATAGCGACGCTAAAGGCCAGTAGCAGTGCGTAAGATAAAAAATAATCTAAAAGCAGTGTACAGTAAAGTAAAATGAAAAAACAATTATAAAACTTTATTACAATTTGAACCAATTACATTTAAATTAATAATCTTAAACATTGAATTCATCTTATTCGTGATTCACAAGGATTGGATATGAAGAAAGCCGTAGCAACGCCGGGTATTTTGCAAGAAACTTATAAACACGTTTTCATGAACTGAATAATGGGCGTTTCCACGCTGTGGTTGTGTTGAGGACCAAGGCAACCAGGAAATATTCCAAATACTCGATATTCGTAGCATGTTCAATATATTTCAATTAACTTCATTTCCCGTCACTCTCAATCAATATAAATCTGTTTGGTCAATTTTTGACGAATATGTTCAGGAAGCAGATATTCTACATACGACAGTTAAAAAATCTTTTAAGTTTGCAAAATCACACTGCAAGTTTGTAGCAATTCTTAAAACTTAACAAAATCAACTGTCGTATGTAAAATATCAGATTCCAGATTATGTTCGTCGCAAAAAATGGCCAAAAAGTTTTATATTAATACATTACAGTTTTTCTTCAAAATAATTAAAAATGTGTCCACTTTGATGGCCTATTACTTCAGTTATCAATTTTATCAGTTGTATATCTTCTTGTCCATGTATATAAAGACTCTGTCTTACTATTACTAAAGATATGACTAAGGTGTTCTAGATCCACAGAGTTCTTATACAATGAGCTCCCATCTCCTCCAATTCATTTGGACATAAGCTGATTAATACGTGCTCATTTTAAGAGTAATTATCTTCATCAACGTATTTTGACTTCAAGTACTTCCCGACTGCTGGATAATAAAAAAATTGCCTTTAAAAAACTTCAAATTCCCTAGTATTAGCAATGCCTATCTTCTCCGCCGGCCCAATGAGCGTGCTTTCGTTCCGTTAAACTTAGTCGCTCACGCCTGCGTGGCCGTGTTGTTCGCAGGTGGCGCACGCGCGCTGCCAGGAGACGATGGAGCTGATCCGCGAGCAGCAGGCGCGGCCTGGTGCGCACGCGCCAGCAGCTGGGGCTGGAGGACGACGCAGGTGCCGTTCTCCCCGTCGCACGCGCTCGCCGCCGCCGGCGGCGCCCGCTCCGCCGCGGCGGCGCCCTCCCCCGTCGTCGCAGGCGGCGGGACGGCGCGCGGCCGCCAGCCCGCCGACGCGCCGCTGGGCTGGAGCCCCGCGAGCGCGCGACCCCCGCCGCGCCCCAGCACGCCCCTGGGCGCGCGGCGCGGGCGGCGGCCATCGGCCGGCGCCGCTCCGTCGGTCCTTCCCCTACATCTACAAAGTGCAGCCACCACGCCGCGGCCCGCGTGCGCGCTGCGGGACGCGACGCTGCGCCCGCCGGCCTGGACGACTCCGCCGCGTCGGCACCGCTGCGGCCGGCGAGTGCACGTGCGGCCGCGGCACCGCCCCAACAACCTCGGCGACATCCGCGAGGTGCGCGAGAGGCGCCGAGGACCTGCTGGAGGGACGCCGAGGCCGAGGAGGCGGGCGGCCCGCTGGCGCCTGGGGCGGGGCCGGCCGCGGGCGAGAAGGGCGACGGGCGCGTGTGCGGGCGCTGCGGAGGCACGACGCCCGGCGCCCAGCAGCTCCCGGCCACCGCGCAGTCCGCCCAGACGCACAAGAGGTAAGGCACGGGGGCCTTTTATTTCTCACAAAAGCTTCGAATATATAAACAGATTCCCCTTCCTCCAAAACATAAATAGAATTCTACTCTTTCCAACCGTAAGCAGAATTAACATTAACGGATTAATTTGAATTACAATTTTAAAGTAAACAATGTATTTTATGAGGTTTGTATGAAACAAAAGCCTGGACCTTAACCCAGTTGCCCTCGTTTTCTATACGCCTCTGTGTTAGGACTGGTGGGAACCGACAAAACAACTATCTATAGAAGAACCTCTGTTCCTCGATCGAGGAAAAGAAAATCAGTTAAAGGAAACTCCTCTCTATTCAACCAGCCTTTTAAAAAATATAAGGCGAACTGCGCTCGTGGCGTAATCGCTACCTCACTCTCTTCCCACTGTGAACATAGTTCAATTCCCGGTATGCCCATGGGGATGGTCAGAGGGAGCTCCTGGCGAGTTTTCTTGGGGGGTCTCCCGTTTCTTTCGCCTCTCGTTCCACCACAAATTCATCATTGACTTACTGGCTGACGGAATATAGCAAACATTCTTTAAATAGGAAGTTTTATTTACAAATTTCGTTGATATTGAAATTTTGAAGTATGGACACCATAAATGGAGACAAATGAAAATTGATAACCTTTCTGAATATTTCGTATTATGACTAGCTTCTAGTTGTATCAGATACTGGAGTGTGAGATGTGAAATGTACACTGGTAAGGAAGAAATAAGTTACTGACGTTCCATTGTATTAGTGAAGGGGAATGTTGCCCTCACTTACCTGGCAAAGTCATTCTATTTCTTGAAACATTTCAATCAAAACTCCGAACTTCACGAGCCGTTACGTGCCTAGGTTCAGTTGGAGGTGGATCACGGTGACAAGCATGAGCTCTTCCGATTGGCATTTTCAATCAGTGTGAATAAATTTCCTTTTCCTATTATAGAGTAGTTACTCTAAGAAGATACCTCTTTGACAGGTAGGGAAACAAATGATCGTCGTGTAGAGAAATGGTATTGCAAGAGACGGTGATGAATCGATTTAGAAATGAGCAAAATGTAAACGGATGCTTAGATAAATTTAGTGCAGGTATATCCATAACCTGCAGTTTTCTTGCCAGCAGTAGCTGTTTAAGCGGTCCCTTTTTATAGTAATCTCGGTGTATCAAGAAAGGTCCCTAAGGATTACCATTGTATTGCAACAGGTACCTGCGTCGTTCATGCACGTGGCAGTATCCCACAGAGGGCTTCGACGAAGAGGATACTCTGTGCGACGGCGGAGACGGCCACATCGCAGACAGCACCACCGACGGCAGTGACGGCTGTCCCAAAGGGTAAGTTCCGCCTTTGGTTCTCCAATCATATGGACCATTTTCTCCTAAGGACGATGTTCAGTGTGTTTCATGTGAACAAGTAGTGACATGACAGTCATTAATGATTTCATTGTTTTTATCAACTTCAATTTGTTAATTCTACTATTCAAATTCCTATCACCTCATTAATAGATCATTAGAGTTTTCTTTCAATAGGTTCAATGTCCAATGAAACTTGACCAATGAACTTTTAATATTTAACCCTACAGTATAAGTAATAATTAAATTAATTGGCGGTTGAAGCAAAATACTATCATCCGTTACATAACCACTATCTGAATTAATAATACCGGCATAGTTGGTTCCAGGCATCAATTTTCACCGCAATACCTCTGACAGGGAGGCCCTACGGTTTAAGACCCCGACGGTGGTAGTGTTTTTGACACTACATAGTTAGATCGATTTCAGCCCCAGTCTGGAGGAGAATTGTAGCGGTCGGCTGCTCTGATAGGTAGTTTTCCGTGGTTTCTCCGATCAACACCAGGCGAATGCCGGAGGAGTACCCTAAAAACGGGCCACGGTCCGTCCTTATCCTAGTGCTATCCTCACCCCCCCCACACACACACACACGTCAGGAGGTTCGAGCTAGTCCCGACTGGTGCGGTGCCTAGCTGAGGAAAAGCCATCTAGCCGATGTGTAGGTCGACGCCAGATCTCACCATCCAACGGGGGAAGATCGCCGCTTCCCGCGCGTTAAAATAATGCTCTACACTTAACGGGCCCAATAACCTTGGTAGATGACGCGCCCGGAACTACTATCAATCTGAAAGAGTCGTATGAATGCTCTTGGGAAAGTTTTGCTTTCCAGTTTCCTTCATTTTGAATATTTCAAAGTATGGACGCCGTAAATGAAACTTCTAGAATTGGATTAATTGCGTGCGTTGGTGAGAACAAATTAATACTTTTCCAGAACGGGACATTACAAGCTTAGGAGGAGGGGTGATTTGATATTTTGGGGTATTTTACAATTAATTATTTTCATGAAATTATATTACCTCATTTATGTAATTGTCTGCCACCGGAGTATTCCAAATTACAGTTTAAATAAATGTATCTTAATACCTTTTACCAGAATATTTAATTTCAATTCCTCTTTCTTTCTTCCTTTTTTAATTCTTTCTCTTCAATCTTCAAAGAAATTGGCTCTTAAATAATATTTTTTAAGATGTTATAATATGACTTAATTATAGCAAATATATATCAACATGAAAACTTACCATCTGAAAAAAAAAAAAAAAATTGATAATGCAGTGACATAGGGGTATGTTTTGCTGGAAAAACTAAATGAAATATGTCTTTCTCATTTCAGAAGTGAGGATTTAGAAGACCAGGAAGGTGTTGCAAACAAGTCTGTACCTCCTGTGCCTGTGAACAGCCACTTGCACTGCCATGCTTCAAGCTTGGACTTGCAAGCCTCCTTGCAAAATGCTTCTACCAAGGACTTGAAAATCCAAAAGTATGTTTACTGTTCACTCTCAAGAGTCTATAAGCAATTCTGTATGTTCAATTCATTACATTTATAAAACGTAAATTTCAAATTACCCTACCTGAGGAATATTATTTTATTTCTGAATGCTGGGTCATTTAATATAGTTTTCGGGTGGGTGTCTCTCTCATCATTAACAGAAATTTGAAAAATTTGTATTTGTTTTTCCAAACTTCATATTCCAAACTTGAAAGTACAATTGAACTCTCTTCTGTTTCCAGGACTTTACTGCTTATATTGAGGGAGATGATTCAGACTGAGAGAGATTACGTTAAGTCACTGGAGTATGTCATCGAGGTATGTATAGAAAAGCAAATGCAAAGGTAACAAAACTATTTTGTATGTAATTTTGGAATAGAATTTTTAAATGCATGTAATTTCAGAATTACATTCCTGAGTTGATGCGAGAAGACATACCCCAAGCCTTGAGAGGTCAACGTAATGTAATATTTGGGAACATAGAGAAGATTTTCGAGTTCCATAGTCAATATTTCCTTCAAGAACTAGAGCGTTGTGAAAATAGTCCCTTACATGTTGGGCAGTGTTTCCTTAGACATGTGAGTAGCATTAATATTTTTTTAAAAAAGCATATATAATGTTTTTGCAATAAAAATTAATGACTTACATGAATTTGATGTTTCAGGAGAAGAAATTTTATCTTTATGCTTTGTACAATAAGAATAAACCCAAGTCTGACTCTCTCATGTCTGAATATGGCTCATCGTTTTTCAAGGTAAGGTATTTTGATATTAAAAAGATTATCTGTGAGTCCAGCACTTGCTCTTAAGATAATTTTAAAATTCCTATGTTTCTTCAGGCAAAACAACTTGAACTTGGTGACAAAATGGATTTGGCTAGTTACCTCTTAAAACCAGTACAACGCATGGGGAAGTATGCCCTACTTTTGCAACAACTTATGAAAGCTTATCCTGAAAAAGAAGCAGATGTAACAGACATCAAAGCAGCTGAGCAGATGGTGCGCTTCCAGCTCCGACATGGGAATGACTTGTTGGCCATGGATTCTCTTCGGGACTGCGATGTAAGTGATCTAATCTTGATTTTGTTCAGGAATGAAGAGAAGCCTGTCCATAATTAAAGTCGGCTTTCTTATCACAACAATTTATGAAAAATTAACAACTTGTGTTCTGAGGTTATATTTCTATTGCTTAAGTATTTTACATTCATAGAAACAACCTAAACTTATGAACAGAGAAATAAATGGCATTCCAAATTCAAAACAAAATATTTTGCCAGAGAAATGTACATGTACGTTTTTAACAAACTGAAATATTTTTGTAGGTGAATGTTAAAGAGCAAGGTAGACTTCTGAGACAAAATGAATTTCTAGTCTGGCAAGGAAAGGGAAAAAAGTGCCTTCGTCAAGTGTTTCTGTTTGAAGAATTAATTCTCTTCAGCAAAGCTCGGAGATTTCCGGATAGAAAGGTTTGTAGCATGCTTTTGGCAAGTTTTTGAGCAGACTTCAAATTTAATGAGTTAATGTCAACATACTTCAATTTCTTTTACAGAATTTAGACCTGTACATATACAAGAACAGCATTAAAATGACTGACATTGGACTGACAGCTAAGATTGGCGATAGTCCTACAAAGTTTGAAATTTGGTTTCGGAAGCGGAAACCAAATGATACATTCACATTGCAATCTATGTCTGAAGAAATAAAACAAGCATGGACTGAGGAAATCTCAAAACTTTTGTGGAAACAGGCGCTGAGAAACAGAGGTATGTGTGGATGTAATGTGGTTTTGTTTTGTTTTTTATTTGTTCTTACTTTTGTACTTGATGTACATATTTTCTCTTACAATGTTTATTTCTTTTATGCAGTGTGCTCCGAAGTCTTGCAATACTTACTTCTATTCTTCTAATACTTATGTCAATGTAAAATTCTGAAATTTTAAAAGAATCTGTATATTTGATTTAGTTGACTCATTTCAATATTCTCTAGTGATATAAAAATGCAAGAGCTGATCCTTTAGCTGTAAATAAATGTTTTGCTAGTTGTAGGTGTATTGTTAATTTTTCCCTAGTACATGGAGGTAATATTTTATGAAATGTTTCAGAGATGCGCCTTGCAGAAATGTCTTCCATGGGGATTGGAAACAAACCCTGCTTAGACATCAGACCTAGTGCGGACCAAATTAGTGATCGCTCCATAAGCATTGCGCAGCTGAGCAAAAGTATGTTAAATTCTCTAAATTACTTTTGTAAAAATGTATTTGTAATGTTATAAATCATAATTTTATATAACGATTATGTCAAAACTCCCTCAAATCATCATAAAAAGCAAAACCTGATGATCAAGAAATGTTTGTGTATACACTATGTCTTATTTCTTTTGTTCTAGCTGCCCCGCGGTTCCGCAATTCAATCTCGGTGTCGTCAGGAGAGCTCTTGCGCAGTAACAAGAGGCCGCACTCCATCATCTCTGTGAGCAGCTCTTCCTCTGGTGGCAGCAGTAGCAGTAGCACCAGTCACTCCTCAGGCTCCACTTACGGAGCTCTGGTCAACCTAGGCTTTGACCCTGCAGATAGTCCCCGAATGCATCATCGGTCTACCACTCTCCACAGTCAGTGCTCCACAGGTACTGAAACTACTTCAGGGAACTACGAGGATTTTTTAATGTCATCAGACAGCTCTTTGCTTTAAGTTCACCTTATTCTGTTGTGCATGTTTAAAGTTCTTGTAATTGTACTAAGTGCACGTACATTGTACATATTATTTTATGTGCTAAACAATAAATATTTTAAAGCACTTTTGCATATTTGTTTGTTTCGTTAACATATTTCTCATAATTAATTCATAATTAGAACATTCATCATTTGTCCTTTTCCAGTGATTTGTCCTTTAAAGCTCCTTTTAATGTATTACATTTTTTAAAAATAATTTATCCTTCTGATATGCACACTATTCATTGAGGGTCCCACAGCATGATAAAACTTAAGTCCATTTCAGTTTTATGAAGATTTTTATACAGAATTCTCTGACTTACAGAAAGTGGAATTATAGCTGACATATCCCTTGGATCCGATGATACAGATGGTTGCAGTCCCCACTGGCATGTTGAGAGGTCTAACAGCTCAGTGACTTCAATGTCCCTGGACTCGTCTATGTCACCTACATCACCAGTATCACCTTCAGAAGAAAACAAGACCTGCCTTCATCCACCTCAGCCGAAAGACGATAATTGTGCATCTAGGACCAATGACAATGAAACAGATCAAGAAGAATTATCTGTTAAACTTTGAAGTGTTCAACATATTTTTCTCAATTTTATGTATACATTTCTCATAAGACTAAATATAAATGAATAAAAGGCAGTGGTGATCTTACACTTCTGCTCTTACAAAGCCAATGGTGAAATCCTTTATATTTGCATGCAAGTGAATAAGTTACTATCACGTAAGAGAAGAGGATCACAACCAAATGTTGAGGTTTGAAGATTTGTTTCTTCAGAAGAAATGAACTATGTTCATGTTAATGTCAAATTATTTGTTGTGAATTGTATTTTCACACTTCACAACTAGCCTTCCAGCATGTTGGGACGAATTGTGCAGTTTTCTGGCACTAATGTAGGCACTTGACCTAATATTATGTATTTACTAATAGACTTTTGTCTCCAAGAGGAAATACAGCCATTCAGATGTAAGTAATTCACATATTTTGGTATACATACAATAGTAGGAACTGCCATATATTTGTGAAGGCAGTTGACATATCAGAATATGTAGTCCAAAAGAAATAATTTGAAGCTATTATTTAAAAGTTATATTTAGATGATTTTTCAAACTGAATGAAAAGGCAACAATTTATGAAAAGCAAGAATATCCAGTTCTAATTTTTCAGACTAGTGACAGTGATGTACTTATACTCACAAGATATAGTTAATGTAAATATAGCAGACTCAACCTTGTACAGTTCATACAGTATTTATTAATATTTTCATTGCATTCACAGAACAAAGTGAATGTGCAGAACTAAACTTAGTATAACAAGTGTTACAAAATTAAGAATTCTTGACATGTTTACTTCTAGGCATAAACTTCAGTGATAACTATGTGTATTGGTGTTACATGCAGCAATTGCTCATTGACTTCAAAACCAGTAGTTACACATTTCCAGAGTGAAACATTAGCCACTCTGATTGTCCAAATTCACAAGTGTAATTTTGGATTTTGTATTTTTACTAATAAAGTGTATTATCACAAAATAAATCTTTTGGTTTGTGTATATGGATCCTATTTTGTAATGTGCAGTGAACGAATGTGACAAGTATTATATCCATTCCTTTCCAAATTGGCATTAGTCTTTCAACTCTTTAAAATAGTTAATTATGGATTTAATATTAGAAAATATTGATGTATTAATTTATTAGAATGAAACATCACTATGTATCATGAAGTAATTTTTCAAACAATTGCAGTTTTCGAGAGGCATTATTAGATTTTATTCCTTATTATTTGAGAGTCTGATAAGTAAGCAATTCAGTGGTTGTGTGTCAACAAAATTTTTAACTTTTATTTATAAAGAGAGAATAAACTTTGCTCATTTCCTCTAATTTAATTTTTTTGAGCAAAAATTATTTATGTATTGTCATACTTTTCATTTATTTATACTTGGAAGGTAAGAAATAACTGTTCTGTATGTTCATGTAGGCACAGGACCACTAACCATAGAGTATTAAAATATTGTCATTAAAAAATCTGCAAATGCAATTGAAAATATTTTTATTAAATATTGGTTAATGGGGTAAGCTGAGTTTGTACAAAATCTAGAAGATAACGTACATTATTTGAGACTAAAAAGTTGTTAAATTTTAATCAAATGATTTGAAGAAGAATTATGCAAGAAAATTTTTGCTTGAGTACAGACTAATTTCAAATTTTTCCGCTTAAAAGAAAATTTAAAACTCTGTAGAAAGAACTATCATTTTTAAAGTATTTGTCCGATTTCAGAAACTTTCCCAAAATTTGATTTGATATTTTATTTACCAGAAAGTGTTCTAATTATATTTCATACAGGAGTGGTACAATTTATGGGTGGTTGAGATTACAAATCATTAAAATGATTTCCTGATAGAAAACGAAAGAAATTAGAGGTATGAAAAACCTATTGGAAATGTAGAACGATAAATAATTCCAAAAGCGGTTTCGTTTCAATAAAGCTACTGTAGTGGATACACTTGTGACGATGATCGACAAAGTCCCAATGACTAAAAGAGGATTGCCTATTTCTTATTACAAGTTCTTGTTGCATTAAGATGTTATGAAACTTTATTCTTTCAGGAATGTTTCCAATTTTTAATGTTTATTCATTTCTGATTTATAAGACCCATTATAAATAATTACGAATTTGCAATATGAATAACAAGTGAAGTAATTTAAATTGTTGTAAAATGAAATTTATGTTAATAATATATGAGGTTGACATTTTCAATTACATGAAATGTTAATAATCTATTACCAATATTGGCAGACTTATGTTCCTACCATGTTACCATACCACCACTTTATGTTCATTAGTTATACTAGAGCATAAGTTAACATTGAGGAATCAATTGAAACTGATGTTAATATGCACAAAATGTCCAATAATGCACAAAATAATGTGTAGAAAATGCACATGACATTGCAGAGATTACTTAAAATTTTGATACGAGGTTCATGGATTATATTTATACCAAATATTTCTTATTTGTAGGGATTTGTAATAAATACATTTTAAAAATATTAACATGATACCGGTGTCAAATAGTCTTTGAAATTATATGAGAATCACAGATTATATTGTTACAAATCTGCTTGTTATTAGTGATTGGTAGTAGCGCCTAATCACATTTGTAAAATATACCAATATCAAAACATCTCGCTTTGTCTGTATGATGACATATTAGACGTGCGCGTGACATCAACTCTACTTTGGAGTGTCCGCCCTCTGTTAAATTGGACGCTCTTTGTACAAGATGAAGTGCGTATGTAAACTCGGTTGCCAAGAACTTCAAAACAGCTGCCGCCAATGCCATGTTGCCACATTTCCCTTCCGCTTAAGGGTACACATTCCGCGGTCTTACGGAACGTCTATGAAATACGAGCGCCTATAAGTGAACACTTATTTTGAAAAAGCACTTATCACTTAAGGGTTCGCATATCCTATAAGTGACGACTATGAATTCGGCCTTTAATCTAGAAAATGGTCAGAGTGGCGCTTACTATTGTCTTGCTCCAAGACACAGAAAATATGACGTTTTGTACAATTTGCAAAATACCACCATCGTAAAACCCCATTTAGTGTGCTATTACTAGATAGGGAATTACCCCCAGCCCTTCATCGAAGATGTTTTAGACAAAAAACACGTTTGAAGATAACAAGACGGGAGTATAGGGAAATCAAGCGCATATACAATCCGTATTACACATCACGTTGCATTGTACTTTACAATTGTGCGTAACTCGGAAACGATGGGCCATACGTCCTTAAAACGGAGATTTCATTTTCCTAAGGGGACAGGAGTTATGTGTTTATATTAGAGCTGCCAAGAAAGGAGTTTTTGGACGTTCTATTAAATTTTTGTAATGCTCCCTCATCCTGTAGCACATGTCTCTAGAAATGCAGAAGGTTAGGTTTCAGTGTGAAGCTATTTTCACGTTTGAAGCAATATTTTAAAGAATGCTAAGTTTGTTGATATTTTAACTTATCGACAAAAATCTTTGGGACCCTTCTAATTACGGCTTAAAGTGAGAGGAAACATATGAGGAACATACGTGGAAACACGGGGGGGGGGGAATATGAGGGACGCATTTGAAGCCTAATTTACTCATCTGGTGGCTTAGAGCGAAGTCGCTCGCCTTCGGGTTCGATTCCTTTAGAATCCCGGACAATCTCATGTGAAATTTGTTCCATCAAAACCAGTTTGGCTGCTTCACAGGGGCTGGTCCAAACCCTGTTAAGTATCCTTAACCTTACCCGAATCCTAATTTCTTTCCGATTCTGACCGCTGGGAAGTGACGCAGGAGCGTGTGATAAGAGGTGTGTACGCGAAATGCAGTCCTCTTGACTGCGACGAGACATGCAATGATAAATAATGTCAATGGAGGATTACTTCTAAGCGCGATGATTAATGGAGTATTGATTCCTTCCAAGCGCAAAGCGTTGAACGCCCCCCCCCCCTCTCCCCAAGAGGCTTAGAGACGCGTTGCGAGAAAAAATACTCTCATGTTTCTGTTTTACTCGTTTGCTGTAGATGTGAAACAATACCCTTTTAAGCCTCCTGTTACGTTTTTGAAGATACCGCTCTTCTGGGTTTCCCTACTCCGTAGCCATGCATGGGTGGTCAGAAAGTAGCAGAAACTCGATGGTAATCCCAAGCAAAACAGAGGATAAGCGCATACTGTAATTATGCTCATTTACTGCGTTTTAATTTCTCGCTACTGCTTATGCAGTGAAAAGAAAGTATTGTAATGCTGGGGGAGGGGGGCGGCGAAGTTTCGACATAAAAAACTCTTATTTGCCGGGCACTGGTAGCACCAAACTGGTTAAATCTTGTCCCTATATATAGTAAATTACTTCCTCTGTCAGAATCAATGTTGATAACCGTGATAAGAATTTTTTCACCAAAACGGATTTTCCCCCCAAAATCTAGCTGATGTCGCGGTTCCTTGAATATGAAACTGATATTTTTTATTAAATTTTGTTGTCGGCGAGCGTAAAGGACGCTTAAGAGAATGGTGCAGGACTCAGTTTCATTAAAATTCCTGATTATTTTGAAAATTGCAAAAATTCAAAATTTTTTAGGCGTCTTCCTACAATCACAATTATGAAGATTATATTTTTCTAAATGAAACGTCTTCATCAGAAATACCTTCAAAGAAGATCATGTTCCATTTTTTCAAAAGTATTAGTATTGTTGCGTAAGTTTACTTGAAACATAGGCGCTTTTAAAACCATTTTAAACAATTATTTTCTCAAGAAACGCTCGTAATTTTGTTTCTCGAATATAGCAAAGTACGGTAAAGATATTTTTTGTTGATCCCATTGACGGCGTACCTCTGTATTTTCAAAAATTGCAAATAAAAATTAACATTTAAAAACTAATATTTTTGATAGAGATTTTTTGTAACTTCAAATCTGTTATTCTTCTGTAGTTGTAGGAAGACGCCCAAAAATTGAATTCTTGCAATTTTCGAAAACTCAGGCATTTCAACGAAAATGAGACATTCTCCATTCTCTTACGCGACTTTTACGCTCTCCGAGGTCAAAATTTAATTAAAAAATTGGTGCTTTTCGAGATAAAAACTGTTTAAAAAATTTAAAAATGCATACATTTCAAGCAAAATTTTGCGAAATCAAAAGCATTTTCGAAAATCACGTATAATTTAATTGTAAAAATTGTATTTAAATAATAGGTGTTGTTAAGAAAAAATATCAATCTTCAATATTTCAGTTGTAGAAAGACGCCGAAAAAAATGATGACCTTTTGCAATTTTCGAAAAATCAGGAATTTTAACGAAAATTAGACCTGCGTCATTCTCTTGAGTGTCCTTTACAGCCATCTAAAGCTTGCAGCGCCCAAAAACTAACCTCAACCAAACCATATCCAAAATTTTAGACTAATTTGAGGATAATTAAATGTACAAATTTACAATTTTAGGCACTGTTTTGCCTTTAGAATGATTATGATAGTGACGATGATAAAGTTAATGAATGTTGAGCGCAGAAAATGCTTCCTACCTCTTAAGAAGAATATTTCAAAACTGAAATCTGAGTCAATGTAAGATCAAATCCCGCATTTTCTGAGTTTTAAACAGTAATTATGTTTCTTATATTTTGAAGATATATCAAATAAGCATTTGAATTTAACACTTCATTAAATTTCTCCTTGGCAGCTGCACTTATACCTACGAAACCCTAATTCCAAAGACATTTTAATGTCACCACTAGAGTTGTTTCCAAACACTGAGTCACCACTTGTTTCCAAATTCTGAGTTGCTATTAGCGATTTTACAAAATTTGATCTAATATAAATTTTGATTTAAATAAAAATTTTAATTTTTTTTATTTTCAATACATTTATTTTTTATTTATTTCTTTATTGTACGCACACAAGCGGACTGAGTATCAGCTCTTCATAATTTTCGCTTCCAATTGTCTGTTAATACGTGATATTGAGAGTTATGGCTTCCGATATCTTCCTTATCCTTTGTGAGTAAATCATTTGGCCTTGACACATTCCACAATTCTTCCTCACAGACCCAGAGTTAAATTTTGAATTAAAGCAATGAAGACAACTATTAGGATCTCCAACTACTAAGAACGTATGTTAACTGTTTCTCTTTGTGCCGTGATTTTTGGAATATGAATGCCGGAATATTTTTTTCCAAGTCTCAAATTAGCCTTAAAATTAGGAATAAGATATCATAATTTTTATGGAATTTTTTTGATTTCGGTGTGTATTCGCCTATAAGAACTTATGGTAATTGTTTCTCTTTGTACAGCCCTGCTTTTTGAATATAAATGTGGGAATATTTTTTCCCCCTAAAGCCTGAAATTTTTGGGTAGGGTTTCAGATTTTTTCTAAGGTTTTTGATTTTTGTGTTTATTCCCGCATAAGAACCAATGTTAAATGTTTCTCTGTATACAGCCCTAATTTTTGGAATATAAATGTGGAATATTTTCCTCCCTCGAGCCTCAAATTAGCCTTAATTTTGGAAGGAGTTCCATATTTTTGAAATGATTTTGAAATGTATTTTCTGGATCTATCTTATTTTCTGGACTGTACACTATTTTGGGAAACCCAAAATAGTCTAAATTTAGGGAATAGAGCATTTAATTCTCCCCAAATTGTCATAAAAATTTTGGATATGGTTTGGTTGAAGTAATTAACAATACATGGCAGTAGGATTTACCCACTTTTTCGTTACCAGGGCCCGGCAATAAGAGTTTTTCTGCGCACCGATTTTCGGTGCACGACTAAATACTTTCTGTTCTTAAGAAGTTAGTGTGATAAATTAAAAGCATGTGTTTTCATCATAGTCAAGGGATACGAGCCATCGACTGACGCTACGAGACAATGACAAATAATTTAAGGGAGGGTTAACGCCCGTAGCCTAAAGAGGGCTTAAGAGACGTGAAGCGTAAAAGACCTAACGAATAAATAAATAAAAAAATAAAATAGAATAAATATATTTTTTTAAATGGCCAAAAACGCTCATTACTTCCACTTTATAATTCAACTTGATTGACTTGCATGGAAGTTATGGTAGAGATCTCAGAGCTCAAGAAACCGTGCAGATGCTGCAGAAATTGTATTTCTACCTATATTACGTCAGATACAGTGTTTAAAGGTTTTATTACGTTAATTAATTGCATTGTGCGGAATAGTAAGAGTAAAGTGCTGAATGAAATTGCGTGATCACGAGAAAGTGTCATGCTGGGTTAACGTACTTTATAAAGCATATTTTAGTGCACCCTTTTGTAAGATTTTACCGCTTAAGTGCGTACGTATTTCATGGATTATTAAGCTTATAAATCCGGTCCCTAAGTATAATCATGTCTTGATGTCTTTTCATCATGATATATTCAATATGAATCCACCACGCACGAATCATGTTAAAAGCATTCAGATATCGATAGTTGGTAACTTTCCCGAGACACAATATCGATATAGGGCGGTCGATATTCAAAATGGACTATGGAGATCATAATATACTCAGTGGTAGAGATGTAGTATGTCAAATTATGTGATAAGCGTGTGCAGTGCAATGATAATTCATATATTTTTCATTGAAAGAGACGTTTACGTTTACTCATTTTGTTAAGATATATTGAAAGTAAGAGGATGCATTGAATAATAGTATATTTTATCATGTGGATATGTGCTCTTGGAAAACAAGACTTCAGTATCAGGTTAGTGCGAGACAATTTCATTTTAATTTTAAAAATATATATTTAGTTACATTAGATTACTTACAATTCTAAATGAAGTATATAAATTAACGTAATTTCACAGTCACACATTCAAATAACACATTTAAATAACCAATATTTAATTATTAAAGGAACCTGTCTGTACTCGTGTATATTGATGTGTGTTATCTCGAATATTAATGGGGTTTTTGTACTGTTTCTAGAAACGATGGATCATGACATATGGAATCAGCATGAAGTATCTCATCATTTTTTGTGTCTTTCATCTCGGAACCCCAAGCTGAAATTACAGCCTTTGAAGAAAGTGCAAGGAAACTCCACACCTGTATCGAAATTATGTATAACAATGGCAAATTCCACATTAGCTACCCCAGTGAAGGGTGCTCAGCAGACTAAAGAACCACTGCTTGTGGAAACTCCTGTGAAACCATTACAAAATCCCACTGCAATAACTCCATCTATATCACACATTGGCAGTCCAGTTACAACACCACTTTTTACTCCTGAATGTACATCTCTTAACGATACTAGAGCAAAAATCTCTCTCTCTCCTCTTGAAACTCCAAAAATAACTAAAATTCATTCTCCTGTTGGGACACCTCTGTGTGTTGCACTAGAAAAACCATTTAAAACAAAAAATGTTAGTTCTACTCCAAGGAGAAGTTCTCGAAAATCAATTAAAGCAGTAAAATCCCATGTCTCAGAAATTAGTTCAAAGACAGAGAATGAGTTAAACTATTTGGAAGATAGTTCAACAGAGTTAAAGCTTTCTGATAAAAATTGTAAATTGCATGAAGTTGTGATTGATCCTGTAAATAAGATTTGTAATGAAGACAAAATTATTGATAATATGAAATTTAGTGAAAGTCTGTTTGCAAGATCTGCAGGTAGTGCTATTGTGCCTAATCCTCTTGACTGGTTACCTGATTCTCTCCACCACGCTGTGGTGCACCGTGATGGTATCACAAGTGAACCGAGACTTGCCAGAAAAAGTGACATTGTGGGTGGAGCAACTCGTAGGTTGTCCTTTTCTAACAAGAAGTCCAAGAAGCAGAAAATAGTAATTCCAGAGTATGATCCAGATGATGACATATTTGCTCAAGGATTAATGCCAGTTCAATTTAATAACATTGATTCTCTCAAGAATCAAATTGGTCAGTTATTAAATTGCGCTGATATTCCATCACCCCAATTAAGAAAGAGTTATAGTTGTGGCATGTTAAATAATGTACATGAAACTCAAGCAGTTACTCCAGTATCTTCCAAGAGGAAGCAATTGAAGCGAACCCCTTCATCTGCTCCCAAAGCAGCAATTAAACGAACTCTGTCTGCTCCTGAATTACAAAAACCGGTCAGCCCAATTAAATCAGTATTACCACCTCCTCCGCCACCATTGCCACCATCTTCAACTAATACAAATGCCTCAAAGGCACCGTCCTCAAGTTCAAAAGTATCATCTGAAGGTAAAATACGTGCACTTCTTCGAGCTCGAGACATAATTAAAAACATACGACAGCGTGCTAAAAACTTTCCCATCATGACGTCTGAAGTAGAAAAGCAGCCTTTGGATACAGAATCTGATAAAAAGAAAAGTGAAGAAATCACATCTCCTTTAGCTTTTGAAAATCGGGAATCTTCCAGCCCAAGTGGTTCGTTGAAGGAAGCAACTGATACTTACGAACTTTTACCTCCAACTCAACCTTTTGAATCTTTCATTTTAGGTGGTGAGTATTTTTGTTTTTGTTACTAAATATTACTTCTATGTTGCAATGCTGCATAGTTAAAAAGATGAAGATTCAGACATAATTCTTTTATTTTGGGCCAAGTCCCTTGCAGAACACGTTTTATAGATTGTTGTGAATACTTTTTTTATTCATTTTTGTACTTTGTACAAAAATTAAATGAGTTTATTATTTTGTGATTTTCAGATGTGACTGCATATGTTGAAGTAATATCAAAGAATGAAGACATTTCTGCCGGTGTGAGAAAGGAACTCATGAAATTAGGTGCAACTGTCGTTCCTGCATTCAACAGAGATGTGCCGGTATGTTACCAACTGTGGAAATTAAAATTAACATTTAGTTATGTGAATCATTGTGTTTCTTCAAAAAATTGCTAAATTTTCAGTTCAGTTCAGATGAAAATAAGGTTTCTTGCCATTAACTACTGCCCCGAAAAACAATCTTTCAAAGTTTGAAATTTTTGATAAAAATATAAAGAAGCTGAAGAAAAAAAAAATGTATGAATCATTCTGTTAATTTATTCTTGGTAAATTTCCTTCTGCATTATAAGCAGATAAAACCGTGGCAGTTTCTATTTTATTGTACAAATTATGGATTTACTGCTCAACATCACTAATAAAATAAGTATCACTGTATTGCATTAAACAATTCAAAGTAATGTTTGAATTTGAATTATAATTCTATTTAAGCTCACACAATGTTTTATCTCTTGACCATTTTCCAACGTTACACCCGTTCTTTTGAAAATATTTTTTCTGAAATAAAAGTTCTGAAGGGACATTTTTCCAAATATGGTTATTTTCAGAAACCAATTTTCTGAATCCATTTTTTTCAATTTCATTGTTCCGTAAAACTTTTTATCATGTATTTCCAGAGAAATGTATTTGGATTTGAATTTTTGGGGAGTTAGGGCTTGAAAATGGAAGCAAAAATTATAACTTCTAGTTGACAGATTGAAATCAATTATAGGCGATAAATTTATTACAAAGTCTGTGGAAACTTAATGGAAATATGAGCCAGGAATAGAAGTAGGATCAAAGGAAAAGAAATAGAATATTGGAGACAATATTGTCAGGTTACAAGAAATTAAAGAGTTAAAAATCAAAAAATAATAGAAGTAATGAAACCAGGGAAATCAACCTTGGAACTGATAGAAAAACAAGGATCTATTAGGTATGGGCATTTAAGAAGGTTGGGCAGTGAGCGACTGCGACAGGTGTGGGAAATACCATCTGAGGAAAGAAGATATAAAGGTGGACCAAGAAAGAAGTGGGAGGAAGATGATGGTGGTGTGAGATTTAGAAGATGATGCCCAGGAAGATCGAAAGAAATGGAGATTAAGCTGCCAGAAACGATAACAGCTGTAGAATAGTCACTTCACTACTTCTACTACTAAAGGAAATGTGTGTAATTGTGGTAAAAGGAGTGCTCTCCTTAAGCCGTTATCTCAGTGACTAGGGAAGATATTGTACTTAAAGGCACTGATGAGTCCCCCCACATTCACACACACCAAACAGGGAAGAAGCAGAAGCAGAAATTGTTAGGAACAAATCTCAGAAGAATAGCCCAGGAGCATCCTATGCTACACCCTGGTCAGAGGAATGTCATAGGAATGTACTACACCCTGGTCTAAGGAATGAACTTCACAAAGAACTGAAGAAACTTTAGAAGAAATTCATAGGAAGAAAAGATATGATGACATGAAGAAAAAAGTGGATAACTCTGCAAAACAGGATTAGAGACATGGTATCCGAATATCAAACATATCAAAAAGAAAATTGCCTGATACAATAATTGAAAAGATTAGGTTACAACTTTTGTTTGTAAAGTTCCTTACCATTAACTTGTATGTGCATATCAAATAAAATACATGTTTATTCTTATTTATATTATTTCGTTTTTAATTCAGATCTATTAAGTTTTGGAGATTTTGGCTAAGGATAATGCGAGTTTTGAAAAAACAACAACAGGAAGATGATATTCAGAAAATATAATTTGGAAAAATGACCTGAAACTCATTATTCATCATTCATCATCAAAAAGACGTGTGTGATATTGGTCCTGTCAGATAGTTTCAGTTTATTAATCTTTTCTGAGTTCTTGTGTGAACCCATTTGATACAAAATCGATTAATAAAACTCATAAAGTATTGTGATGGTTCTAATTTTTCCTATAGAGAAATAAATCCACTAGTAATGGAAAAACAAAAATATCCATTTATTTACTTCAAAGTCAATGATTTTATGATATACACCATAAACTTGAACAAGGTAACGTACTGTTTGATTTTAAAAAAAAAAAAAATCAAGATTCAAATTAACAAGAAAAGTTTTACATTAACAATTAAAAGGAAAACAGTCTGTTTGTATTCCAATATATGTCCTCCCGTTCACGTGTGTAGGTTGGTAAACATTACTCGCATCTTTCCCAAATCTTCCAGCTCCTCCAAGACATGCACTCCCTGTTGACGATTAAATTACTCAGTTCTCGCTTTCGACTGAAGGTCTTACAGATCATAAAATTTTGTCATCCATCACATTGAGCTCAGTAAGACGTTCATTCCAATTCTGGTTATTGATTTTTTTATTTTTGGGTGTCTTGTTTGTCAGTGTGGTATCCATCATATAATTTTCATACAGGTGGGCCATGCACATAAACATCAAAAGTCTTTGATTCATTACAGTATCAATCTATCTTCAGTTGGGATCATTGATCATCAGCAAAATATTTAAATTTATCTCCTTTTTACTTTTGATTCATGTTTTCTATCTATGTTTCCAAAAATTTCAATGCTTGACTTATGAAATCTTTAATCAGAGTAGATGCTGGAGAGCAGTCTTCTCATATTTGTTATTAAATCACAAAATTCTATTTAATAAGTTGGAACCAATTTTAATAAAACTAATGGTGTCATACAATTTGTATTCACCTCTTGTTCCTCTTGCACAGTTCTTACTGTTAATTGTAAGAAAAGTAGAGAACCCGGTTATGCTTCACAGTGTATTACACATCACACACTACTGGTCAGATGATTGTCAATCATATTTTGCACTTCACTGATATCAAAAAGTTGACAAGTATTATTCTTGCTCCTATTTATTAATCCGCCTACTTCTAATTACTTCCTCCAACATGTTGAGTAGTCAAAATCCAGGTTTTCTATGTTCTTGACAGCGAAAAATTGGTTTATGGCGAAATGTCTGTCCATCTATCCTTGGTCAATGCTGGCACCTAAACTGATCTAATGATTTTCTCCAAAATTCATATTTGCCTTCAATCAATCTGGCCAAACTCGAGGCAATTTGTAGCGGATATTTTAATTGGGGGTGTACTTTTCATGTAGGCTTAACATTTTCAAAATTTTCTTCAAAGAGTCCAAAGTTTTGGATTATTTTTCCCCGTCATATGCTTATAAAAATTTTTGGTGAATTCCCAGTTTTGTAAAATTGCAAAAATTAAGATGGCAAATCTGCAATATGGCTGATACAGATTTTTTTCCTTAATTCTCCAAAGACATGTCTTTAAATATGGTCGTGTACAATTTTTCAAAAAATGGTTATAAAAATGGTGCAGATTCCATTTTTTTGTAAACTATCGATACTTTCAAATATTTGCAAAAAATGAACATTACAAAACTACAATATTAATGTTAGTATTAAAAAAAAAAAAGATATCTGTTAATATATCTGTTAAAAAGTTCTTTAAATAGTAGTTTTTTTAACTAGTAGTTTTCACATAATTTTTGCTTGAAACATGGAAATTTAAAAAAATTCTCAAAAACATCTCCAAATATTTTCTTTAATTTTTTCTCAAATAGAGGAAAGTACACTGTTAAAAATGGCTCAGGTTTAATTTTTGTTGAAGTCTTGCAATTTGCAAAATTAAAAGTAATGCAACAAGTTATGCGCTTTTGGAGCATCACTAGTTCCTAAACATCTCATGGTAATGCATCATCTGTTAGTTTTCTGTTCTGATCTTAATAATTCTTTTAAAAATCTAGAAGGGAATTAAGTTATTTCATGACAGTTCGAATACTCTTTCTTAAGCCTCTAATTTTTAGATTCTAAAAATTTGAAATTGGGTGGTGTCAGTCTTCTCCACTTTATGAGATTTAAAAATATTGATGTAGGATACTATTTGAGAGGGAAAGATCAACATTCAACATAGATAACTATTGATACATCTGTAATTTTATTGTACTAAAGAAAATCTGTTGAATAGGCTTTTTGAATTTAATTAATTCATGTGTATTCAGATACAATCTTGAACAATACACTCTAATATGTTATGCTATAATATAAACATGTTAGTTAAGGACATCGTGCAGAAAGGTGTTATTAGTTTTTTATGGATTTCCACATTGTTCTTGGAGACTTGCAAATAACTGAAAGAACACACACTGTAATTTTGTGCAAGGGGTAGTAAAAGGAGTTGGGTTAGTTTTTATCAAATTTCATGTAGACAGTAATTATTCTCTTGTTTTCAAGGTCATGTATACAAAATTTCATTAAGATTGCAATAAAATTATAGATTTGTACAGGAGAACTAACATACTTACATAACTACATTCATACATACTTTGTGTAATAGAAAATAATTAATTGAAGTGAAACAGCCAATAAGGTGTAATAATATTGGCTTGACAAAATACTCTACCTTTCAGTGAAAACTCCATCGATATCATTTTATTGATTTGAGAGATTAGCCCAGACTGACAGGCATTGACAAAAAATTGTTAAAACAGTTTAATGGCTTTTTATATCACCTAAGTATGCGTAAGAGATAATAAAAATGCAGTTATTATGAAATCATGGACAGACACTCTAATTTTATTTTGAAAATAATAGTGTAACGTCATGCTGCGAGGTATCATTTTGAAAAAAATATTAAAAAATGCTTTCTGTGAAGTTTTAAGAAACTTAGGTTATTGTATGGGCAAGTTTCAATGCCAGCATTGATCCAGAAACAATAACTAAATTTCTGAAAAATGTGGAGTTTCCTGGGTTTGAAAATAGCTTTTCAAATAAGAAAATGTATGCAATTTATGTATTTTCAATAAAACTTAATAATTGTGGAACATGTTTGTGATTGTTTGAGAATGAAGTTCAGAAATTTAAAATCAACATAATTTTAAAAGCTATTTTATTTTGTAATTAGTGTTATTTCTTTAAATATCATTGAAAAACCTGAAACTGTGAGAATCGAAGTTGTAATAAAGAAGTAAAAACTATATAATATAGAATACAAAAATGTGTTATAATAATGCTTAAAATAAGTGTATCATGTATATGAAATATTTTTTTACTTATGAAAAGTATGAACATTCTTAAATTAAAACATTAACTTCTATGTGGCTTTGCATGCTAAGCTTTTTACTTGTTAATAGAATCTCATTACTCTCTCATATCAAAGTTCTTATTATGATTAAATGTAATTTAACAATGTTTGTGGTAGGTGTTTATACAGAATAACTCCTTCAAATCACAAACTAATAGTTCATTAACAAAATTAAAATTTTACTTTGAAATCTCATTTGAAGAGCTAAGTGTATCTTTCATAGACGATAATTATTGTCTTTCATAGACGATAATTATAAGATTTTTATTTTTCTTATTGTCAGTTCATTTCTCTCTAAAACATAAATAGTGTGCATTTCCTAATTTTATTTTGTTTGTTGTAGGTTACACATGTTGTGTTCAATGATGGCAATATTTCTACATATAAGAAGGCTAAGAAACGTAACATCCCACTTGTTTCTGTGTTGTGGATTGAAGCATGCCGTAAAGCTGGTGTAAAAGTTCATGAAAGCCTTTTTCCACCTCATCAAATTGAACGGTATGAATCACCTGCGATACAGAAGGAGTTGAAAAAAAGAAAGATTATGCGGTTTTATTCAGATGAGACACAAAGACCATCTCCTCGGCAGAGAAAGGGAGTGGTACAGAAAGAAACACCAATTCAGCCATCAGCAGAAACGTGTATCGAAAATAGTGCTGTGCGGAAGAGTGCTTGTGCACCTAAGTGGGTGGAAGAAATTGCTGGAGGTAATGGTAGGGTGAGAATGTTAGTTAAGATGACTGGTATAAGCAAAAAGGAATTCAAGGAGTTGGTAAATAGGCCACCCACACCCGATTCAGATATTGATCTGGATCAAAACAGCCCTCTCCCAGTCCGATTGTTGCGCAAGTTGGCTAAAAACTTACCTGTTCGTAACAACTTAGACTCTGATGAAACATCTACAAATATTGAAATGAGTGATATCAAAGCTAGTTCCAGTAAAAGAGCTTCATGCGAGAATTCTTTTACCAAGAAATTGACTGAAATTGGGGAAATGGAAGATCGTATGGAAATCAGTAATAAGCAGAAAGAAGAAGTTGCTAGAAATCCCTCAGTGTCAGCAGTGAACATGATATCTCAGACAGAAAAAACTAACGTGCTGGATGTTACCCTGAGAAGAAAGGTGTCAAAACGGAAATTATTGAGCCCTGTGCAGGAGTCTTTAATTGTAGACAATGTTGGTGATGTTAATGATAATGCTAACACTGTGGTTGAAAATCCACATAGTTGTACTCCCAAAAAGTTGAATGGTGAAAAGATAGAGAAGAAAATAAAAACAGACAATGCTGAAATTGAGTGGTTGGATAGACCTGAAATCAATAAAATTGATGAAGATGAGGCAGTTGGGTCTAGGGAGAAAGAATGTGTCACAAATGCAGTTGATCCTGTTCGGAGGTCACGAAGAAGTTCTTCTTATTTTGTTAAAACAAAAAGGTGCTCTCCATCTCCTATTCTTCAGAGGCCTGCAATAGTTTGCACTCAGTTGCACACTCCGTAAGTGTCTTTCATGTACTTAATGTATTATTAATGCTTTTTGCTGTTGCAGTCCTTTCTGTTTTTTAATTTGTAACATTGAATTTTTGATGTATATACTTGTATTTTGGGAAGTTTTATGTGAATAAATGTAGGAATTTGGAGACAGTGCATGATGTAGAATTGAATTTTTGGAACTCATTAAATTCGTTGTCTCAGTACTATATCTGTGATATTTGCAAATCTATATTCATGAGTTTGCTCAAGTAATTGTACATATTTGTAGAATTTTCCTTACTCTTGAACAATTCTATTGAATGTATATTTTGAAAAATATGACATAATTATTATCTAATAAAAAGATATTTGAACTTGAAGTTTTTCTGCATATTGTATCACTTTCCTCTTACCATGCATGTTCCACCATAACCGTGTTTCTATCCAAGTGTCTAGGATTTGCATGAAAAATGATATTGAATCTGTGGGAATAGGAAAGTTTATTTCAAATATCCTTGAACTGGTTGTGTGAATATTTGTATTATTTTTAGATTGCAGTATCACATTTGATCACCTTATTTAAATCGAATTAAATGTTTTATGTCCTTATTCGAAGTTAGTCAACTTGTGAGAGTGAGCAGTGCATTGACAAAGAACTTCATGTTTGGGGTTAAATTTTGATCAATTTAGTGTACCTTTTACATTTACCTATTGATTATTTGATATTCTATATTGGCCAGAACTTTGTGATCTGTAACGTTGCAAAAGATAAGTTCATCTGACAAGATTAGCTTTCAACATAAGATTTTAAATTATATTGTATTGAAGACTATTGAATTTCTTTTGATATGATCATGTTCATTTTTCCTTAATTTGAAATGTTGCCTGTATATCTTCAATATAATTGTCACACAAATTGCAAAAATTATATTTAGAACCATGTTTTAACTTAAATCTAATTAAAACTAATATCAATACTATTTTGAAATTGTCTTGTTTAATAATTAAGGAATGTTAAGGAAAAAGTACAAAAGGAATAGAAAACATTTGTTCTTTAACTCTTTCATTTTCATGTTAATGTATTCAGCTTTTGTTTCTTCTCAAATATGCTGGTGTTATTGTGTTAATTTTCTTTATTTGCATTTTCTCAATTTAATATCATGGCTTAGAATTTGACAATAGTATTTGAAATATTGAGGAAACAACAGTAAAGCTTTGTGCTAATAAAAAGTAATGTCTTGTTGTTGGAATTTTCTTTACAGAGATATCGACTTAGTTGCTTCTGTTGTTGAAAAACTGGGTATGTTTGTGGTTGAGAAAAATGTGACTTCATATACAACACACGTTGTAGCTGGTGCTTCAAAGCGAACAATGAAACTCTTGAAAGGAATGGTTCGAGGATGCTGGATTGTTTCCCATGAATGGGTATTAAGATCTTTGGAAGCAGGAAAATGGCTTGATGAAGAAGAATTTGAATTGACAACGTTTTCATCTTCTGTTCAGGTTAGTTATACATTTACGCAAGAATAATTGTGGTTTCCCATTTAGATCATACCTTTACCATTTTCAGTAAATTATTCGTTTATATATTTATTTTTTTATTTCAGAAATATCGTTTGGAAAAATTATCTTTTGGAGGTATATTTAAACCTGATATATTCAGCAGTTGTGGTCCAATTTTTGTCAGTTCACAGGCTACTGTTCCCAGAGGGGATCTTGTAGAGCTCATTTTGTTGTGTGGAGGTGAAACTGTATCCAGAATAAACAAAGCTAAGATAGCAGTTGGAAAAAAATATAATGATATAATATGTGTAACAGCATTGTGGATATTGGATTCTGTGCAGTATTATTGTTGTAAACCTTTTGATAATTATCACTGTACATGAAATTTGCATTTGTGATAGTTGTAAATATTATATATCAATTTAGTTATTTTATAAAATAGCAGATTAATTTAACAGATGTATGTATGTAGAGAAACTTAAAATATGTGATTCATTAAATGAATTTAGAACTCTCATCAAATTATGTTTTGAAAACATCTAAATTAATAATTGAATGGATTTTATGTATGTTTATTACAAATGTTAAATTCTGCATCTCCTTTAATGAAGTTCACTGGTATTGTTTTTGAAAGTACCTAAATTGGTCAATGTGAGATATATTTTTTGTTCTACAAGAAATTACCAACATACATTTATTGAGGTTTTGTTAAGAATTGCTGACATTATGTTTTGAGTGTTAATTCTATTTTGAATTGCTACTTTCTGTTGCTTAATTTACATGACAGCTGAATCAAGTGTTCAGTGGACCCAAGGCACTGAAAAGAATCTTTTCTTTGGTTTCTGAGGAAATATGAAATCAAATAAGAACTTGATGTTTGGCACTCGAACTTTATTATATTATAATATATTTTATTAGCTTAAATGTACTTGTTATGTATGTTGGGATCACAAAGTTTGTATTTGTTTCCCAGATATTTTCAAGATGATTGTTATATTGTAAAAGTCATATAGCATTGATAAGAATATATCTTTGCATCCATGAACAAAAAATGCAGAGCCTTTGATTTCTTGTATGAGTTTATTGTATATCAATTTAATTATTTTACTGAATAAGCAGATTAATGAAATTATTCTGCTTATTTTGTAAAATAAATAAATTGATGTACAATTCACACAGGATGTTTTGTATAGCTCATATCACCTCATGCATATTTGGCAGGAATACCTACTTAGCCTCCACCCAGCCTAGGAGGAAAAGTAGATAGATATTTACTGTTCTTGTTATTTACATCTACCTTGATTAGTTATGAAGAAGAATCAGACATCTTGCCATAACTACTTATTTGGGTTATTTGGATATACATTTCTTTTGTGTGATGATTTTGTTCACAAAAGAAGTATGGAATTCTGCCTCAAATAAAGGCAGCATATTTATTTTTAACACTTTTTATTATTTTTACAATTTTCTTTGGTACATCACTGAACTGCACAAAGGAAAAAATTCCTCAATACAGCCAGCTTATTTTTAAAAGTAAAACTCCTATTTCCCTTAATTTTTAATTTATTTTTATTGATGCTACATTTCACTGAACATCAGATAATTATCCCAATGCATTTAGTACACTTCTTTCCAACTCTGTAGTTCAAAGAAGTTTGAAAGCAACAATCACGTGATATTCGATGGAATGCAGGTAAGACATTTCCCTATTTCAAATTCTTAAGTTTCTTTGTGTTTCCCACCCCTTGCTGCCCTTCACTTTTGTGAGCAGAAAAAACCGACGAGCAGAAAAAGTTCTTGTATGTATGGTTTAGGTCTTTGTAATTTTTTGTAGGCTCAGTATTGACATACAAGAAAGGTAAAAAACTACTTGTGTCTGTGTAATGGATTGATGTGAATTGGAAAACTGGTGTGAAAGTCTTGGAGGCTTACCTTTACAAAATATAACACACATTCTGGAAGAAGTTTTCCTCTTTAATGAATCAATGTTAATCTGTGAATAAAATGTTGTTAATATGATAACTCTTGCTCTTCTTCCTAATTACAATTTGCTTTTCACATTTTCAGTTAAGCTTTCAAGATATCATATGCGAGATGCTGCACCAGAGAATTTCCCAATGCAGCTTTCTGGCTCTGTTCAATCCATGTCACAGACATGAGTGGTGTTTTACACAGCTGTGTCTCACTCTGTAGTTTAGTAATTCTCGCTGGTGGTGGTTTGCCTTGTTTCCTGAACCAAGTACACCTGGCTGCCGGGCACGGAGCTGGTGGTGACAAAGGTGCGGTGCTTAGCCCGGATCAGTGACAGGTTGCTCTCAGCAGTATCAGCACGGTCTTCTGCAGCTTCCAGTTCCCTCTGGAAGCGACGCACCCGGGTGACGTTGGCAGTGGACATACCCTCCTGAAAGGAGAGAAAAATTTTGAGATTTCATTGGAAATGTGAGAAGTTTTACTTACCCCTCTTTCATCTTACATTAATTGTTTTCACTACATTTAAGACATTTAATGGGAAAAATTTAAGATAATACTACTAAAATTTGTGGTATACAAGACATAAAAATATTGAATTCCAATTTTTGTATTGAAACCCTTCCAGTCATTTTAAATATTGAATATCGTTCTCTCTCCCTATCTTTTTTTCTTTCTTTTTTTTCTTATTTCTAGAAAGATTGAAATATATCTTGTTTCAAGTGTGGTCCAGTGATCTCTTTAGAATTATATGTGAATTGACTGAAAGTCTTTGAATTTATTCTTGTTTCTAGGTTAGTTGCATTGACCCCTTCATTTGCAGTTTGTAATTTCCTCATTCATCTTTGTTGAAAAATGCTTATATTTTAGTTGAAGTGCTGAGGAAGTTTTGGCTGAAGTGCTTACTTAAAAGCAAGATTTGAAATACTATTGTGAATTTGTTAGTTCATCCTACTTTTGTGCCAATCCTTTTGTAACTGAGGTGAAGGGTTTTCTTTATGAAGTGGTTTACTTTTCACTGTATTGAATGATGAGATGAAACTCGTATCTCTTCTAATCATTGAATGAAGTACAATAAATAGAAGAAAAGGGCTCACTTTACTCTTTGCCTTGAATTTTCTTGATTTGGCCGGTTAAAGCACACATGTTTGTTAATATTGAAACATATTTGTTAATGCTTTGGAATGTCATGTCAAAAAAGAATAAGAGGTGGCTCTATGATCCCAATATTTTACTTCTTGAAAGTTGATGTAGTTTGGCTGTTGACTGGCATAAATGAAGGAATTGAGTATTCTGAAGTGTCATGTACTTTCAAGGATCTTAAATACAATATTTAAGTGATTAGAGATTATGATTTGTTGTTCCTATAAAAGTTTGTAAGCTTTTACAAAAGTTCTGTGACTACATACAACAATTTTTGTAATTTTTTACAAGAAAGTTGACTTTCACCGGAAGCTGACTTGACCAAATTTATACCTTGAGGCCCAAAGTATTACCAATCCGTGGGGTTCTCAGATAATGAAATATTGACCATATGTAATCAAAGTGAATAATGAAAATAAAGTAATAAGCAATAACCCCTAAAATTCAGAAAATTAATCTAAAACTATTTTGACATAATAATAATAATAATAATAATAGTAATACAAAATTTTGTTAAAAAAAGTTATTGGGAGCCCCTCTGCTGTAGGGGCTTCAAGCAAGTGATTAGTTTGCTTATGAATTAATCCACCACTGACTCCAAGAATCCTGGAACAGTTGTGGAGTTTTATTAACTTATGGAGAACATAACATGGTATCTTGAATCTTACCGTCTCCTGCAGCTGCCTCTTGTAAATGTTGATCTTCTGTACACTCTTGTCCAGGGACTCCTGCAGGAGAGAGATGTTCTTCTGGTCCTCCTCTTGTTGGATGAGCACTTCCTTGACAGTGCGTTCTTTCTTGCGCAGAATCTTGAGAGTTTCAGCATGGCGGCGTTTCTCCTCATCCAACTCCAATTCCAGATCACGGACCTAGAAATTTTTGTGAGTTAATGTTCTTGCTCATCTATAAAGAACAGCTTTGCAAACTATATGAAGTACTACTACATTTTTATTGTTTTAAACAGTAGGGATGTGAATGGTTATAAACTACATTTTCTTTTTAAGTGAAAATTGTTTCATACTGAAACTCAACTTTGATCACTAAACTTGTGACAACTAAAATGGGGGCTCTTAGCAGAGTTAAATCTCCAAAAATGTAATAAATGATCAAGAAGGTCTCACTTTGAGAATTTTGGCAAGATATACAGCTTGGGACATGGAAATTGATATATATATATATATATATATATATATATATATATATATATATAATGGTAATAATTATCATTATTAGATATTGTTATTATTGTATATTTCGCAGTACACTAACAGTTGTTTAAGATCCAATCACAGCAAAATGTTAAGTCTTGGGGGATTCTCTAGCAGAATAATATCAAACTTTTGTCTACGAAGATGTGGCTCTAGTAGATACCCAGTTTGATTTATAAATAGGTATTAGTTATAATCATAACTAATATTAATGATACAAAGAAAATATATTAATGTTAAATGAATTTTAGAGTGAAAGGCCAACTTCCATTTTGAGTATGTAATAAAATGTTTGTTGTCCAGCTTACCCTAGCTTCAAGCTTGCTGATGACACGCTTGCCTCCGATGATAGCATTAGCTTCAACCTCCTCAAGCCTCACAGACAGATTCTTCACTTCAACCTCCAGAGACTTCTTGATGGCATCAATCTTGACAATGCGCTCCTGTTCTTCATGCAGCAGCTCAACAGTGTGCCTCAATTCAGACTGGACTCGCTGGTAGCGTTCGTCAGACACCTGAGGAAAATCACAGACATTTTAGTTACAAAATTTCTGTTAGATTATGTGGCATTACAACTGATTATGCACTTTATGAAAGATTCATACCCTCAGTTCCCGGGTGATCTCGTCATAATCACCAGCAAGGGTAGCAAGCTCCTGCTCAATCTTGGTCTTGGCAGAAGAAATGTTGATGTTGATGGTGGTGAGCTCATTGATGCGGGTCTGAGCTTCCTCAAGGCTCACCTCAACAGTGCGCTTGGCACGGATAACCTACGGCGAGACAAATGTAAGTTCATTAGTAAGGACATCCCAGAAAGGTAACATCCCAGAATTATAGTTAGTATGTGCACGAGAATAGTCTTACCGATTCGTAGTTGCTGCGAATTTCTTCGATTTCAACAGTGAGAGACTGCACTTTACGCTGGGCAATGCCAAGCTGGTCGAGAGTGACGGCCAACTGGCGCTGAATTTCGTCATAGTGGGCTTGGATTTCCTATAGAAATAGATATATCAATGGGTGAAGGACGGCACATCATGTTAATTTTATAAAAGTATTTCTGAATGTAATGGATTAATTGAAGAAAGTTTATCACGACTTACGGTGAGCTGCAGGGACTGTTTCTTGATGGTCTTCTGGAGCTCAATGTTGTTCTTGTTGGCGACGTCGAGAGACAGCTCAAGCTCGGTGATCTGAATCTGCAGCTTCTTCTTGATGCGGGTCACCTCGGTCTTCAACTTGGTCTCGGCTTCCACAACACGTGCGTTCAGCTGCTCAATTTCAATGCTGGTCTGCTTGCTGTAAACAAACGATTTCCAATAACAATCTGCCACAGGTTGCACGCCATACTAGTTCAGGCAATTAAATAATTTCTAAGAGTCAATGGATTACCGTAATATTCAAGGTGTTTTTCTAACATGCATTTGTGTGTGTAGGAGTGTGTGCATGTGTCATTCCGTCCCTGGAATCTTAGGAACACATGCATTATAATTGTGCGGTCACGTCACTGTACCATTTTTCCTGGTAGTAGTTGGCTGTCTTCTTATTGAAACCTTGTAATTCCACTTTAAGTTCATTAAGAGGTTTGGCCAATTCTTCTTCGTCTATTTTAACTTGACGTCGTATTTCCATAAATCGTTCATGTTCTCTAGAGTCGTGTGTTGAAACAGCACTCCTTCGTTGGAAAGATTTAATATCTAAACCTGTGCTTGAAGATTCATTTCGTAAGGAGTCTGCAAGCAAGTGCGCTTCAATAGCTTTTGCTGACTTGCCGGTAAGAAATTCTTGAGCAAACTTCTTAGCGGAAGACTCAAAACGTTCTTCAGTACCCTCACTTTGTAGATCCTCCATGCTCTTTTGAGTGCTTTTCTTCTTTTTGACTGTGCCAATTAAAGCGATCTTCTTTGTAACTGATGCCGCCGAAACAGACTTGGCTAGTGAGAAGTTGGACTTCTTCGAGAGGGTAAAGGTTCTCAGATCCCTCTTCGCTTGCTCCTCAGCAGATTCTGCCAATTCCCTGAGATCGGTTTCCGAATAGGCTCGCACTATTTTGTTGTTATACCTCTCAAGCCCTCTTTCGTTGGACCACGGAAGATGCGGCGGGACCACCTTCACTTTCCTCTTGCTCTTCTCACTGATGTAATCTATCATAGGCTGGTAGAAGTTGATCCCGTAGGCATAGTTGTCTTCGTAGCAGCGAGTAGGTGGCTTGTGCCACATAAACGGATCCTTCGCGACTGCTTTGCCCGGTGCCATTCAACGGTCGATTTGGTTTCAATGCTGCACTCCACAAAAAAAACTCACGACCTCTAAACCCCCGAAAGCACGCACTCTACGAAGGGGCTCAGGGCTGCCGGCTTGCCTAGCACCCACTGCCCTGCTCGCGCGGCCCAGACGCCAGCCGGCCGGCGGGCCGTCACGCCACGTCGCAGTTGTTTTGCGTTAAGAGCTGTATAAATAACGCGCCTAAGGTCCTGCAACGCGCGTATTTTTAACCGCGTTCCTGGGCTGAGGACTCGCTAAGTCGGGCCCAGTGGGCCGCCTCTCAGCTGATTAAGGAGTTATGTAACCTCGCCTGTGATCCTTCTTGGCGAGGATTGTGAGAATCCTCGTTCAATTTAAAGGTCAGTTGACGCTTCAAGTTGCGAAGTATTTTAGCGAAATTGGCGTGCAAATATAAATATCCAAAAATGTGGCTTTGTTCTCGTGGTTTTTAACTGAAGTTTTGTTAGTAAATGAGTTGGGAGAAGTGTCAACAAGATTGACAATCATAAAATGTATAGAAATTTGTTATTTACGTTGTCTGCTAAAACATTAAAAATAATAAACTCATATCTACAACTTTTTTGTTATTTAATGTCCAGTTCGTTTAAAACTTCCTTTTGATATCTGATTCAGTTTTTAATCACGAGGAATTCTCATGTCATGCTCACTTGGTGCGTGTCATAGGGCAACGAAGTAATTTCCAGAAAAATCCTAGGCTCATGTAGCAGAACGTTCGTTAGCATTCCAACATAAGAAGGGCATGTACTCCCTCTTCCAAATGAACTTGGTCTTTTGGAGTTACACTTTTTTGTTTTACTCCAGATTTACCAATTTTTGAACGAAATAGTTCTTTACGTAACAAGTACAGAAAGTGAATCTTTGGCATACGAATGAAATGTTTACGGACGAGGCGACGAGGAGCGCTGATTTCCCATGTGAAATGAGTACGCCAATGATACTTTCGTACGAGTTGCGTACATTGATTTTTAGTATAATTTATCATCTCGAAACTTACAATATTGATTCTTGGAATCATTCTCAGTAAGGGAGACGGCAGCCATGAAGGTTCATGTCGCCCAAGTTTTTTTTAGTTTGCTGTACTCTGTTGTTTCAAATAACCTGGACTTCCGTGCGATAGTATGCGTACGGCAAAGTAACACTTTCCAAGCAATAAATAGTAAGGGTGGTAAATACTAGATTGAATGTATGAGTACTGAAAAATAATTCAAGAAAATATTTCTACGCTTTTAAATGCGAAAATGGAAATTTCTTTTCGAAAACCATAAAAATTAAGCAATTTAATCATTCAACATCTATATAACAGTGCACATTCAAGGGAGGATTTTATGTATGTAATATATAAAAGTTAAAAAGGAATACATTAGATTAAAATAAGACATAAAAATTTGTCATAAGAATGTTACGAACTCATTGATTTTTTTGTTAATTTCTGTACTAAATGTGTAAATTTAAGATAAAACTCTGAGATAATTTACGACGTTCCGGACGAATGGACGAGTAATTGATTTTGGTATATAATTATGTTTTAACATAAATATTAGTGTTCAAGCAGGGATTTCTGCCTTGGAAGGCGAACAAAAGAATAAAAGCTTTTGTGTATTAAATCCTCTGGTGTTTGAAGGTCTTGGCATTTCCCTTGCATGCTTTTTCTGGAAGCCGCTGAGTTCTTCTGCCGAGAGGTGCTATAATCGGCGTCATGTAAAAGTGAATAGTTGCGAGAATATTACGTTTTAATTCTATTAATTATTATTATTATTATTATTATTATTATTATTATTATTATTATTATTATGGGAGGAGTTTACAATTCTAATGGACTTTTCTCAAACTATACACGTCACTGCTTTTTATTCTACCAGGCATCTTCTATTCTTCATTGTTGAATCGATGACGGCCTTCTAAGATTTCCACCGTATTCTTTGTTTTCTTCTTTCGAAAGGGATCCACTCAAAGACTATTTTTGATATTCTGTCAGCATGTTTTGGGTATGCATTCTCATTAGATGGAGCCTTACCATTGGAGTTGTTTGAATTTACAGTTCTGATAACTTGTCTCTATACGTGAATTTTCTAATTTCTTCGTTAGGTATTGTATCAGACAGGGTATACTGACAACATCGTCTCTAAAAATTGATTTTCATAGCATTACACCGAGACTTTATGACATCCCTTTAAACCCATTAATTAATAAATTATTAAAACATTAATCATTAAAAATTTAATTCTACATGTTTTAAATGTAAGCCATTCTAACTAGTTGAATGAAAGAATATATCATCTTATGACAATACAGTATTGGAGAATAATCAAGGGAAGTCGAGTTTGCCATCCGAGGCGTGGAGTCTGGGCGGTTCGATAAACAACATAGGCGTGCGTTGCCTAAAATCGTCTACATTCTTGGGACCCCTTTCCAACAATTTTTTTAAATTTGCATATGACATTTTATTTTTAAACGAATAAAATATACAATAAGATTCAAATTATAACTTTAATGATTGAATTCATAAATAGAAATCTTTGGACACTTTCTTCCCGAAATTACTACTATTTCCCAAATTGTCAGGGAAACAATTACGGTTTGAATCGTATTTTAAAAAAATAAAATTTTTAGTTACATTATGTTATGAGTTTCCCTTCAAAATTTTCAAGGATGTCTGGGCCTTTAATAATCAACAGAGTATTGTAATAAGATGTTTTACTTATTTCGAAAAAAATAATAATAGTTTTATTAAACGTGTCTGGCCGTTGAGATTCACGTGTCAGCGACCATATCAGTGGGTGGTTGCTTACCGGATGGCGTCGATCTCCTCGTCCTTCTCCACCAGGCGGCGCTCAGCCTCATGGCGGAACTGGCCGAACTCAGCGGACAGACGCTGGGCACGCTGCTCCTCGATCTTGCGACCCTGCACAGCGCGACGGTGCGCAAGCCTCGCGTTAGTTCGAGGCTCAGACCAGCACTTGGCATCTTAGAAGCCCCCCTTCCCCCGCCCCGGCGTCTCTAAGCGTCCGTTCAGAGTGGATCGTTGTTCGATCGAAGAAAAGTTCTGCCGGTCATACTGCATTCGACCGCACTAAAAAATTGCCTGCAAATCATTAGTTATAGCCGGCCTGTAATGGAATCATACTTCTCACTCATATCTCTCGGTTATATGATATATGTTTGATATATGAGAGATTTGTTTATAAAAGATACTTCTCACAATTTCTATTTAATTTGTGAGGTTAGACAAATGTTTGGCTAAAAACAGTAGTTCCCAAAGCGGTCTGTGAGGACCCCTGAGGTCTGTTCTGAACCCTCTGAGGTAGTAATGGAACAACTCCCAGAAAGGATTCTGCGATAAAACAAAATAATACACTAACAAAACACGTTTATGTAATCCCATTTTGGATGGCTCAGTTCGGACAAATAATTCAAGTTCATTTATGCCGTTTTGCAGACTTGAATGTTCAACTTTGTTCACCATAAAGCGTCGGACGCAGTGTGACTGAGCCCGTACTGAAATGAGAGTTTGAAACATTCGGTTGTAAACGACCGTGTTCTCCCGAACAAGAATTATCCACTCTGACCGTATCATAAAAAACGGCGTGAGGCCGATGTCGAAAAAAGTCCTGTAAGCCTGTTGGTCATTAACATAGTAATACTTTGTACGTCTGCGTTCGTCGCAACTGCCCAAGTTCAAATCTTGGCCCCGTGTACACTCAATTCTATGAGGGTCTTGTAGGTCACGAGGATTATTGGGGGGACATGGACCAAATGGGAATGCATCATCCATCGCTTGACCCCAGTGGTGGGAGTCACGGCAGGATGAAGTCGAAAGGACGCGTGCGGTTGGTGGTCCGTTTTTGAGATACTGTTCCGACACCCGTTTGATATTAATTTTTCTCACAGGTAATGTATTCGTAAAGACGGACGTACTTTTATAGTTTTAATTAATGAAAGTAATGAAAAATAATTTTCATGACATTGTTATAGGAATTAAAATGAATTTAACGTCTGTCATTTTGGACATTACATCTAAATTAAAAATTTCGTTTTAGAGACTGAAAAATATAAATGCAATTTGGATATTCGTAATGCGTTTATCTTGATGATCGAATTTAAGTAAAGGGTTGAAAAACAAAAGCCTATAATCTCAAATAATCTAGCAAGTGGTTGCTACATTCACAATGTTTTGGTATCCGCTGCCAATTAAAGTCCGTTGCCAATGGTTATTGCCAGAGAGAATGCGACTATTTGTAGGTATGACGTCGTTTGAACTTGGCTCTCAACAGTCACGTTTATTCTCTCCCACTTTTTATGTTTGGCGTCATTCCCTCAATTCCACTTGTGAGACACTTGCTAGTATTTGCAGACCCTTAAGTTGCGTGGAGGAGGAAAGAGCAGAGATACGCAGTGAGGAGGTACAATAAGAGTATTGATTGTGTCCGAAAAGAAAACAAGAAATTGAGAAGTTGAGTGGATACGGATCAAAAAATAATATCCTTCACTGGAGATGGGGAGAGAGAAATTTGACCCAAGAATGTAAAGGGTGAGTGGCGTTGAAGTGCAAGTCGAATTATGTTAATTGCTATAGTCCAATTACGAGTGTGTTTTCTTTAAGATATTGCGTATAGCCTCTGTTATAAGATATTGCTTTAACTCTCTTGAGAGGAAATAATAAATACTAAGAAACTCATAGGGTGTGGGAGTAATTTCGCAAAGTACTTTGCTTGATTCTGTACCTTACTACATCCATTTCTGAGCTCTCTTGCTAGAATTAATGATTTTGAAGAATTATTTCAAAGTTTACTTAACATTTTGACATCTTGCTTAATAGAATAATTTTGAATAGATAAATTTGCTTTTAAAAACATTTTTGTATTCCAAAATGACCTCGCAATTATGTAACAAAATTGTATGGAAAATACCCATAAAATGATAGTTTCTAATTACGTAATCGGTAATGCTTCTTCTATGAACGGTGTGACTTAAGGTTAGTAAAAGGTAATTATGTATATTCTGTTTTTACTTTTTATAAAAGGGTCCACAGCATCTTCTCTGAGTCATGAAGTACCTAATATTTCCCCTGACACGTCACTAAAAAAGTTAAAAATGTTAACTGAAACACCTAAGCATCTCACATGGTATTTGAGGCGTTTGCTACCATACATTATTTACAAATAAGAACCTTTATTACATTTTGCAAAGTTTAAGGTGTCTTTCATAACTTCACGAAGGAATATAGTTGAAATACAGCTCAGTGACACCCAAGAGGACCAGATCATACCTCTTGTTATTGAACTGCGCTTGAATGTGAGATGATCGCAAAATTGCCGCGAATGGAACTTTCTGATTTTGATACCAAACGCCTAGTATTTCATATTCTCTACTAGAGCTTGTTTCTGAAAATGAGTTCCCTAACATTTCGTTGCCGAAGGCCTCGCAAGACGTTAACTCGTCAAAATAAAAGATTTGAAGCGTTGTCGTACGTTTTTACATACGAGAAAGCCGTTTCGATCGAATTGCGGCCATCTTCAGTGCGATTCTGAGGCGGCTGGGGACCTCCGTTCAGACAAGACAGCTACCTGACCTGATTGAACTAGGATGCCTTGTCTAAACGGAGGCCCCCAGCCAGCTCAGAATCGCACTAATGATAGCCGCAATGCGACCTAAAAGGCTATCTACAAAAATAAAAACGTACGACAGAACAACGCCTCAAAACTATTGATGCAAATGTCGTAAATTCCACACCGTTTCCTACCATAACTAGTAATATTTTATTTCGCCGTATTCACTGTTTCTAATGACCTACTTTTTTTTGTGGCTGAAAAGGGGCAACAAAACATTTTCTACTTCGTCCCATGCCAAGAAGTGAACCCGGCCCTAGCGTCCTCGCATTCGCACCAGCGCCTGCCTCTCCAGCGAGAGCGGGTACTCACGGCCTCGGCTTCCTTGTAGGCGGCGGACAGCTCCTCACGCTCGTTCTCCAGGCGGCGCAGCTCGATCTCCAGCTCGTGCAGGCGGCGAGTCAGGTCGGAGATCTGGTTCTTGGAGTCGTGCAGGTCGTCTGCGGCACACACGCGCCCACCCCGCGCTCGTCTCACCACGCGCCCTTGATTGCGTTTTGTTTTTATTTATTTAACGTCAAAAAACACTTAAAATCTGTGACGTATTATGGGGGAGAAGTGCAATCAGGGCAAGTTTCCTTGAGCTTTGGGATCCCCGCCGTTATATAGTACATTCTAAGTTGAATGATGAATCCTGGTAGCAAACGAAGGATTTTGGCAGTAATTGACAACAAAATATTCGCTCCCGGGTAATAAACAACATGTAGCAAAGACAAATCAGCTACAGATTTTGGCTATCATGTATCAGCATGTCCTTCGAGAAGCTTACTGCCGCGAGAGGATGGAGCACGATTATTTGAATAACTATATTCCCCAATGAGCTAAAAAAGCGTGCACTGAATGTGAACTGATAGTGAAGTTACATTTATGACTAGTAGCAAAACAAGAAACTACCTCAGCATTTGCTCAATGGTTCAGGGAAATTGGACGAAAAGCATGATCGAGAGACGAGTCATTTACTCAGAAGCTGAGGTAGAACAATTTGAAACTACTATGATAGAATACTGCCATGAGACGTGAACATTTCACGCGCGTTTATTGCGATTAAACATGGAAGAGTTATACGTTCTATACACCTTCAAGCGCAGTTGCAAGCGTGGCTTGCACCGATTATAAATTAACCGTTGCCGCATTTTTCTCCGTTATGCGAAAGATGCCCGAAGCAGTGCGTATGAATCCTGAGTCGGTGGATATGATCAAACCCCCTTGAGAGGTAGGACCCTTTCGGTAGGTTGAGTCCTCTCCGAAATTCGAACTTCTCCAGAAAAGCGGGCCAAACACTGTCAAGCTCCGCTGGCCCACACACTGTCTCCCATGAGTGTGACAAACTTACAACAGGCTCAGGGCTCGCTAAGTCGTGTGTAGGAGTACGAACATGCCGACGATACCTCGATGTTCCCGGTCGCGGAAGATGTTGCTAACGCGATGATGGGCGAACATATAAACCAAGTTCCTATTGCAGTCTCAAAGCAGTAGCCTTCAATCAAAATAATCTTGATTGAATCTACACAACTCTAAGAAAGCGAAACTTCACATTCTTGAAAAATCTAGAGTTCACAAGTCATTAAAGTCATTGTCATATGCAGTGATTGATATGCAACGGGGAGGGAAAAGCCGACTATCCTTGAGTTAACCAATCAGACCCGAGATGACACTACTCTCCTCGTTCGTATGATGAAAAAATCCAACTATTTTGAGTAGGCCGCGCTCTCGCGCGTGAACGCGAGGGTGCAAGCGTCCCCGACATGCGTCGCCACATTTTACTCCACTGTGATTGTTGTAAAGCGAGGCACTGACGCATCGACCGCGACAGCGACTGCGACTGCCGGCATCGAGACCTCGCGGCATGTTCGTTCCCCGAAGGGTGTCTCCCCTCTCAGAAAGTGGGTTCTATTGTGTGCGTCCTCCCCTTTTCCCCTCTTACAACGCATCACCTCTGTTTGTATTGACTTACGAGATGCTACGAATCTATTCTGTCACGCACGCTGTTCTACAACTATATAGAACAAGTCTCTATTCCGATGAAAAACACAAGTTAAGAACTCCACATTGTAAAATAGGACTTCGTTTATGCTTGAGAAGTGACAAGTGTAATTCACGTGTTGCCCGCAGAGGGTGGAGAAATTTCAAAATGCTGGTAGGAACCTATCCAGATACCTAAATCCAAATGCCGCCCTTTAATAACCCAGGTTGTTTTGACTCGTGACGAAATCCTTACCGAAGAGCGAAGCGGTGCCCGAAACTCGCCGAACAGCCTCTTGTTGTCGCGTACGCGAGCGGCGTCGGGATCAGTCGCGAGCCTGTATCTGGACCGGAAAGCATGCGGAAGCGAGAATAAGCGCGACTCACCGGACAGCTTCTTGTTCTCGCGGGTGAGGGCCTCCTTCTGTTCGCGGGTCTTGTCCAGCTCGTGGGTGAGGCGCTGGATCTCGGTCTGCTTGTTGCGCACGTCGCGCTGGGACGCTTCGTACAGGGCGATGGTCTCCTCCAGGCGGGTCTTGATGTCGATGTTGATCCTCTCCAGAGACTCAACGCGCTTCTGAAGCTCCCTGGCGGTGTTGTTGGCCTGTGTGTACATTATTATTATGTATGCATTATTATTATTATTATTATTATTATTATTATTATTATTATTATTATTATTATTATTATTGTTATTATCATCATCATTTTCTTCTAAATTCACAATTAAAATATTACATGCCGCTTAAATATAAAATGGACTCCAGAATGCAACAGTTTCCCAAGGAGCAGATATAGTGCCTTTACAATACTATGTGCAAACTATCGTCTGTTCCCAATTATTCTCTAACTTGCCCTTCCGAAATGTTTGATTGACTTGGAAGCTTGGACAAGTTCCTATATAAATGTTGCGGAATAAATCCCAGAGCATCGATGATTATCGCTACGACCAGTGGTTTTACATCCTACATCCCGTTTATATCAATTTTCAAACTCTTGTGTATAAGTCATTTCTCTACCTTTTTGGTTACGTTCTAAACGCATAGTGATGAATATTTTTGAAAAATAATGTATAGTATATACAATCAAAGTATCCCGATTTCTTTTACGTCTAAGGTACTTTTTCTGATGAACTCGTGATACATTTATAAATACCACCGAATGCACTGCGTTACAGTAAAATTATAAATAATTCAAATATCAAAGTAGTAAAATTTAAAACAGATTAAAGTTTATTCTCTAATGCCGACGGACCGAGTCTTGCTCAAGTTAGAATAGTATGCTAATATGCAAATGCATGATCTGTAAGTTCTATCTTAGCTTAAATATTGCAGAATCTTACTTAGAGGTACATAATAACTAACCAAACTTTTGAAGACGCAGCTTTGTAGAGTGACATGTTTATAATTTCATTTTAATTTCAAGAACTGACTAAAAACCTAAATTTATGAAATATAGTAATTCGTTAATTATATTCAGATTCCCTCACTATTTGATGGTCAGGTGGAATGTCTCAGGAGAAAACTAATGTTGAAGGATATTACACAAATAATCTTCTACAATAACACAATGATATAATAATGAAATATTTAACCATGCATGTTCAGAGTTTTATGTACCCATTTTCGATGGTTGTAAAACAAAGTAAACCACTAAATGGGCCTTCAATGCCAAATGAACCACAGCCTACAAGCCCGAAAAATGTCTCTTCTAAACCACTAAAGTTGGGAAAATAAATCTCAGAAACATGCCTCGTTAAACATTCGAATACATTATTTGCAGATTGTGGAAGATTATTTTCCTAAATGTATTCCTTCTTCATGGAATACCACAAGATTTACGCCATAACTACGGCAAAGCTAAAGTATCTAAAACGCTGTTACCTTCTCCAGGTCGATGATGAGCACTTCAACCTCGCTCTGGAGGCGAGACTTCTGCTTCTCGAGGTTGTTGACCTTCACGACCAGGGACTCGATGTGCTCCTCCTGCTCTTGGATGCGAGCGGTGTACTTGCGGCTGCGGAACAAAAGCACATCATCTCACCATTTTGCTACTTCGGCGAAGATTCCGACAATCCGAATAGTATTGTGATGATGGTTGATTAGTGATATACGTGGCGTGTTTTTGGATGCATAGAAAAGGGCGGAAGTTGGGTGAATTTAGGTTCATTGGTAACTTTTCAATCAGCCTGAAATATACTCCTGAAATATTTTAATCAATTCAAAGACGTTAATTTACAATTGTGTTAATTCGCCTTTTCTAGTATTGTCTGTCTCGATTGAATTTTCACACTCTGCGCGTCGCTACTTACGCCACTGGTGACGTCATGCGACAAGGTTACAAAGAAGAGAACCGTCATTAAATATTTGACAATTACGTGATGTGTTATGGAACAAAAATCTTTTTAAAATTAATTTTTGGTATGTAAAGAACTGTTGTTATGTGAGACCGTAAACAGTATACTATGCTTTCGGAGATTTCATGAAGACCGTTTTTTAAAAATATTTAACTTATTGTACTATTATATGAGAGTATTTTATTTTTCGATCTTGAGCAGCGTGAATGAAAACTGTTTGTGATTTTGTTCAGCCGCATTATTGCTGCTGCAGGCCATTAGAATATAAGGCAACACTTAAATTTGATGTGAATTAGGGGGTTTCAATGCACAAATGCACAAATAAGTCCTATCCGAATTTAGGACAATGTTGCATACAAGAGGGAAAAATTTACAATATAGCCATTAGTAGTACATTAAGTTCTTATCCCTTATTGTGACGACTTCGAAATCACGAGATCGGTGAACGAAAGCACAGAACGTGTGTTGGGGCCGAGGGCATTGTTTCGTAATTCAAATGAGAATGGCGCGTTTTAATTTGTTTAGAAAGTATTTGGGCATCAAATGCGTTGATAGTTATTGATTGATAATTATTCGACAATTTCAATCACAATAGAACAATTTCAAGGGCGGGTAAAAAAAGTTCTTTGGAATTAAAATTGGTCTGAAATTACGCGTTTAACAGACCCACTTTGTCGTAAAATTGAGCGCGCATAGCGGAGTGTCACGGCGTCTAAATATTCTAAGGCTACAAATACGTCATTCCGTTCGTAGGTCCGTGTTTTCGTTCTCCATGTTCTCGCGGAAGTAAGCCGGTTCTTTCTCGTTCGTTACGATAAGGGAGAGGATAAGAGCCATACATTACACCCGCGCAAATAAATCAATAGAGCAGAGCACAAGATAAAACATTTATTGAATAAAATATTGAAGCATGTGCAATGTTCCAGGCGGGTGTGTGACGGTGATTCGTTCTTGCTTCGAACGGGTCGCGGCTCCGGAAGCATTTTCTTTACACTTTTGACGTGCGGGTTGAGTGAAGTAGACGTTTGAACGTCTGATACGGAGCAGTCATGCTCAAAGCTGACAATAGCGCAACTACCACATATTTTTTTGTTTTGTGCGATCGCTACAGTGGTATTCATATTAAGTGCTTGAATGAAGTTCAAGATAACATCAAGATACCATTGTGCTTGGGGCGAAAACAAAACAGGTAATATTCAAATATACTTTGTATGCCAGGTTTCATGGATACTTGCCCTCAGAGGGTGCAAGGGATCAGCAAAAAGTGCATCAGTTCCAGACTGTATGACAATTTAGAACAAATAAATGTTTCTTGACTTTTAAAATTTCATTGCAAACCTCTTGTGACCTCCAAAGCAGTGGCGAATGTTGTGATGAAGTAGATATCGCCTATCTAACGTGTTTTCTCTAGAGGAGAAAAATATCAAATACCTAGTAGGCTGGAGAATGGAGGACTGATGGATGGTTATAGGACATATGCAAATGAAACTTTGTTACATTTCAGAAATATTCATTATGGAAACATGATGAAATTGTATTGTACTCAATTAAGTTAGTAGACTTGTATCTGTGCTATTTATTCACCAATTCCCATTTTTTGATTCTGAGTTGATTTTTGTGAAATTATTGAATTCTAATTGTTTTAAAATGATCTAAGAAGAAAATAAAACTCTGAGCAAAGTGAGCAAAAGTTAAGTAAAAACTGAAGCTTTGCCAAGGCTAAAATAAATATTTTTAATAAATATTCATCAGAATTGAAACCTGAATTAGGAGTTTGTGTACTTCTAATAAGAATAGATAACTAGAGTGAAATAGTTCATTTCAGTTGTTATGCAAAGTGAAATAGTGCATTTCGCTTTGTATAACACTATCACACTTTTTTTAATATCTAGAAAGGGAACTAGAGTTGATGGAAACAAATTCTAATAAAAGTAAATAAGGTGGATCAGGTAAAGGTGATGAAGAAAAATCTTCAATATCAGTTGAGAGTAATCATGAAATGTTTCTAGTAAACTACACAAAATAATTGATTAAATTCTCAGATAAATTTTCCCAATGAAGGAATTTTAAAACAGTGTTTCAAACAGTTATTAAAAACAATTTTGAGCAATGTATAGAGCGTTATTTAAAATATTTGATGAATATTGGTGGATAATGCAAAACAACCTGTTACTTTTTTACTCCCCATAGAAAAAAGTGTCGACATTGCTTGGGAGGTGCTTACTGTGGATATGAGAATAAGGCCGAGAGTACAACTCAAATTATCAGTAATTTTTTTCATTTAAACAAACTGGAACGTTCATAAACTTCCTTATTGAGGAAACATATATATTCTTTCGAGAATATTAATATCTTCAGAGCAATGGGACTTTTTAATGAGAATGTGGAATATTTACTGTGAATCTTCTTCTAGCACACTATCTGTTTGCGAAAGGGAAAGTCAACATATAATTTTTGAAGGTGAAAATACGAAATGTATAAAAATACGAAAATTGAAGGTAAAACAACACAATTGGAAAACTATTTAAATCACATAAAATTATGACCTGCATTAAGGAGAGAGACTAAAATGGATGGGTCATCAATTGCGAATAATTGAAGAGTGATGTGTGGAAGTTATACGTAGAGAAGGTTCCATAGGCGTAGAGACCAGCAGGAGAGGTAGGTTCCAGAAGACGGAATGATGAGATTGAAAATTTGAAAAACTTGGTAGTGAAAAGATTTCAAAGACACACGGACGACACTAGAAGTAATTGGACTGACGGAAGGCAAAAATAGGGTCAGAGGACTGACAGAAGAATTCATGGCCTCCTTTATCTATTAACATTATTAGTATACACGCGATTTCCAATAATATTTCCACATATTAATTAAAAATATTCTGAATGTTCTGACACGTTCCCAGGAAGGATAGTTTAATCTATTTAATTATGTATAATTAATTTAAATAATCTAATTAGGTTATATGTATGCATAATTAATATACATACAAAAGGTTTTAGGGTGGATAAATGTGCGATTATCGTTTCGAATCTTATTACGATTCTAATCCTCTAGTAACGTTTTGTATTATGTCGTGCAATCCTTCTCCCGCGACTAACGATCACGGCACCACCAGAGAACCGATCAATCCGCGTATCCACAAGGGGTGGGTGAGGAGGGTGAGCTCACCGCAGGTCCTCCACTTCTTCGACGCGGGCAGCCGCCTCGGTCTCCCACTTGGAGCGGAAGGTGGCGACCTCGCCGTTGGCGCGGGTGAGCTGGCGCTCCAGGTCCAGGCGAGCCTCGGACTCCTCCTCCAGCTGCACGCGCACCGACTCCAGCTCGATCTCAACCTGGTGCAGGGTGGCCTCGAGGGTCGTGCGGCGCTGCAACACACATACACACACACGGTCAGAAGCCTCAGGGTGGAGAAGAGCGATAATGGGTTTGAATGTGTATGTATGTATGCATATATATAATGTGTGTGTAAGTAAAGTGTACGTGTGTGTATGTTTGTAAGTATGCGTGTATACTTATGTAAACTATGTGGTCCAGATTTGGTTCTTGGCTGGTTGGGGTATAATGTACCGTTTAAATAATTGAACATGTGAATAACATGCGTGTGCGTATTCGTGAGCGTGTGTGGGTTTGTTGTGTGCGCTGTATGGTGGCTTAAGTTATGCGTGTGAATATCTGTACTTGTATATACTTGTATGTGGGTACACGTATATGTAGATGTATATACGCGACTGTAAACGCGAATTCATATAGTACACATTTCCGTGAATAGTATGTGAGATTCGAATAACGCGCTGATTCAAGCTATAAATCGAGAAGCCATCAAACTCGCGATCGTTCTACTGTCGACCAATGAGAAATAGCAGAGTATCATTGCGCAGGGAATATTTTGGAACAGAAATTCATTTGATTACGAAAGACCGCGGGAGAAGGTGGTAGCTAAGTGTGCTACCTAACCTTCCGTTTGATCTATGGAACGATTCTAATTGCATCTTAAGAAATTGAGATCTATAATGCTGGAAATCAAAGGTAAATATGGTCTGAATGAATGTCAAAGGTAATTAGTTTCATTTATTACAAATAAAGTGAAGATAGTAAAGTGCAATGTTACAACACGTGCACAAAACGAGGGAGCAGCAGTATTTAGAGCTGTATGTTTAATTTCATCTTTTATAGTTACTATTAAAACTTGTAATAACAACTTGAATCTAAAGTTGTATAAAACTTAAAGATCTGTTGGAAATTATACGGATTGCTATTATAACTGTAATGTATAACATTGGAAACTGAAGAAATTGAATGCCCACGGTCGTAAGAGGGGAGGTGCAGCACGTGGAAATGTACATGAGCCGATGACAAAAAAAGTACGATAGAAAAGAAGCACGCAAGCAAAAGCACCAGGAGCCTACAGAAGGAAGAAAAAGTACACTTTCTTTAAAAGTCAGTGGGTGTAGATCAGATGGTGTGATCACGTGGAAGCGACTCAAATAGCTGACCATTTTTCATGTAATCAGTGAAGATAGGAACTTAAGTTTTCAAGTTATTTAAAATTATGAGAAAGCGCGAAATCAGTAACAGTGTTTGGTAGTGAAATCAGTAACAGTGTTTGGTAACAGTGTTTGGTTTTGCAGCAAGATGAAGAGCAACTGTGGAATTACACGTAGAACAGTGCAGGAGGCAGAGCCAGTCGCTCAAGGTCGTTCACAGCGGAGCCTGCGCCACATTAACGGGATGTGATCCCTAAACGAACCAGTCGCGTTCGTGAAGTGTTAGAAAAAATTATAATAAGCTGAAAGAACATGGGAAAGCTACCACAGTATTATACCAGCCACCACAGTATTGCCTGGTTTGTTATATTGAAAATATTGTAAAGGCAGACATTGTGTTATTTGCTTTTATTGAACTAGTGTAAATGTAAAATTAATCATGGCAATTGGATTCTTGTGTGTAATAGCTACATAACTAGTAACCGTAAATGTGAAACCTAGGTTTGGTAGTACAAATGATTAAATTCATCCCAGATTCCTAAATAAGGAAAATACTAAAATTAAATTGTATTCAAAATATAATAGTTTAGAGGGAACAAATATTTAGGTTGTGTAGTTGTGTAGCTTTACTCATCATGGATATTTGTAAATACAATTTCAATTTATTTTTATTGTGCAAGATTAATGTAAGATTTTTCTAATTTTTCTTAGAAAAAGCACTTTTTTGTTCTGTAAATGTGTGTATACGAGTAATCAATCACTATAATACATATTATAGGACGTTCTTTTAAATTTTATTGGTCAGCCATAAGGCTTTACATGTGATGGCTTTAGATTATATGATGTTTTGCCTCTGAGAGTCAGAATTATCATTTTCATAATTTTTGGTTCCCTAATCAAGGCCCAACACTTAAGATCTTGTAATTTTCAAAGGGTTTGTCAGAGAACGAAATCTGTACCCTGATTTAAATTTCAGCGAAAAGACGGCGATCAGCTGAGACATAATTATGCAATCGGGAACATCGTTAAAACTTAAATTATTGATATTGTAGTTCCCGATTGTCAACCCAGCTGGAAGTCAATTCGTTCATGAAATTTGGAGCATAGAAACAAAGAACTTCTGAAATCTTTACATAAAATAGCGCTTCTGAATTCATATATATATATATATATATATATATATATATATATATATATATATATATATATATCCGGGCAATGGTGCAATTAGTAACCTCCATTCAAGTTATGCAACTTTGTTTCCCACAGCCAGGACAGAACAGTCTAAACATTAGGGTCGGATGAGAGAGAAAGAAAGTAGCAATATGTACAGTACCCGTAGACATTATTGATGTTTATGTGTAGGGTTGTTTGCGTGGGTTTATTGGAATGTATACTTTATCATATTGGGGAAGCCTGTAAGTATTGTGTTCTTGAATGTATATGCGAGTGGTAAGTGTGCATATATGTATGACTGCTTGCTTAAAAGCATGCAGGTATGTGCCTGTAAGTGTACGGATACGTTGGGATATTTAAAAAAAGAAATATCGATGTTAGGGTTGGCTTAGTATGGTTTTGTAGTTACTGTACTGTACTTTTTTTCGTAGTACGTTCACATTGTGAATCGGTCGCTGCACTTCGCTGACAATGGCAGCCAAAAAATATTATTATTGCTTATCGCCCTCAATTATGCAATGTGTTAAATGTGACACTTGTAACATCTTGTTACTTCAGAATCATTGACATCTCAATGTATTTGGTTTCTTTTCCTACGAATTCATAGAAAAAAAGAAATTAACTTTTGTTTTGCTTTGGAATGTGTAACTTTTCTGTTTTGGTTCTGTGGTCTATCTTTTAAGAAAAGGGAACATGAGAGTTAATAAACGGTGAAGAAATAATAAACCAATTCGTGTAGGAGAGTTAGTTTATTAGTTTACGATAATTCTTTCCTTCTTCTCCTCTAGTATATTTTTCCTCACGATAAATATTTTTAAGAGAAACTTGTGTTTTGTTATTTACAAAATTAGAATAAAAGTAGTTTCGAGATTATTTTTTGGAATCTTGAGGTGAAATACAAAACGAGTCATTAAGAGTCACAAATAGAACAGAGCGCAATCTCGAGAAACCTTCTGCCGATGGTTGTACAATTTCAGCGCTTTCGAGTAAAGATCTCAAGGATGTATCTGTTCTTTTCGTGTACTGCCAGACTTTTTCCTTCTCTATATGATTAGCCGATAAAAAAAGTCCCCTTCGAATATTTTCTAACGCTTCAAGTTATTGAGATGGAATTTTAGCCAAATGATTCGGGGTCACAGGATTTCATCAGTTAACTTTTAATATTTTTAATTTTACAGATATTAGACTTCCAACGTTTTGTTAAATGGAACACTACAAATACATAGATCATGATCAAATATTTTCAGCAGTATTGCTTGTGTTGGTGTTTGAGGAATATTTATGAACATAAATGAGTTATAAAATCAGCCATTATACCAGATTCCGAAGTTCGGAAGTGCGGCTGGACTTTTTTAAACGTTTTCACTGCGTCCATCGTTAGCCGGATTAAAACACCGCGCCGAGGAGTGAGGTGATGCCTACTGCGTTTTGTGACCTCGGAACATCAAGCGACAGCACTGTGCCCAAGTATAAATGGGCAAGTCTACAAATCGCGAAAGATTTATTAGACGCACTATTTTGTATATTTTGCTGTTTTATATGTTTGCTGTTTTATGTATTTTGGTAGCTAGAAATATTCACTAATATTTGATATTTGATTTTGTGGCATGTCTCAAAGGAAAGAAACAACAGTCGGTACATCGCTATGCAAGGACGCTCAGAGAAAACAAGGGGCATGGGGGAGTAGATCAGTAAGGGACCGTTATTTCAAGAAGCGTTCCGCCATCCATGTATAAACAAAAATAACCATTAGCGGTTAATTTTTCCCAGACCCCCCCCCTCCCATTCTGAGCGACCCTGCTGGAATGGTTTACGAAAAAAAAGTAAATCGCATATCTATTTTGACCTTTCAGTAAGATGCGCAATAGATATACAATCTGTAAATAAATATAGTCTTATCTCCCTTCTTGTTGACGTCTTTCACTTACTCTCTCATCATCTTCCAGTCGGCGGCGAGCATCCTCCAGCTGTCCGGCGAGCTGGCTCTTCAGGTAGGTGGCGTTCTCAATGTTCACCTTCAGGTCCTGCACCTCCTTCACGAGCTCGATGTTCTCCTGCGGAAGAATTTCTCAGTCAGGTTCCGAATTTCATTTTTTTTACTATTCTAAACGCTGCAAGGGTAAGCTTATATTGGCTTGTGTTCTAAAGCCCCCGTGCACACGAACGTTGCGTTGACGCGCGATAAGTAACGCGCGTTGTAGAATAACACTGTATCTTATGCGAAACCGCACATGAGCGCTTTGGCCGTTCCACATAAGAATCAGTGTTAATCTACGACGCGCTTTATTTATCGCGTGTCAACGTAACGCTCGTGTGACGCAATCCTAAGAACGCACCTGAGAAAGACGGGTCTTGTGGGATGTGATGTCCACAATGGTGCGGTTGAGCTCCTCAATCTTCACGCTCAACTCGCGCACAGTGATTTCCAGCTTCTCAGACTGCTTGATGCTGATGAGCTGGAAAAGAAATCACTAATGAAGTCCCGATAACATTGATAAATTCGACATTCGACTTTCGGGAATTTTGATGTCTACAATGTCACTCACAATGAATTTATTTTGCCACCCTTTGGCAATTGTGGGTCTCAGTATAAATCTTAACAATTTGTAAAACTTCATATGATAATTATATTACATTAACCAATTTTGATAAGTCACAGTGAAGGGAATAACATTTTTATCATTCGATGCTATGTTATAGAACAGTTATGCATGCATACATGCATGTATAATAATTTTTATTTTTTTCAAATGAAAAATAACAAGTGTGGGTACTAGTTTTGCGGCTCTTTGTTACGTTGATGTTTGCCACGGAATGGTCGATTTTATTTTTTCATCCGGAGGAATCTTAGTGAAGTGAGCTTAGAACGCGTGTATTTATTTTTCTTCAGAGAACTTACCTTCTCCTTGTTGGAACTCTCGAGCTGGGCCAGCAGTTCGTAGACTTCCTGCTGGAAACGGGCCTTCTCCTTCTCAGCCCTGAAAACACAAACGGTGCAAAATTACTCTTACGATTTCGTTATTTGCGTAATAAAAGTTACGTTATTCTTTATGAACTTGATACTGAAAAAAAATGTTGACTATGAAACGTACAAAAAATTTAGAAATTTCAGGTTTTGAAATATGCATTTTACCACCCTTCTCAATAATATTTTCTTGAATAATTATATTCCTCATTTTTAGATTCTAATTAACTTGTGTCCTGATATGCCTCATATTCTTACTCTTGTTAATGTTTTTAATTTTTAAATAATTTACCATTTTCGCTATGAGCATACAATATTCATGCAAAAGATATACACCAGGATATTTCTTATTACACGAAAACAAAATATAATACAATTTCATTTGATGCTATTTCGCTCACTTAAATAAAAGGCGAATACGTATTTACCTCCTCGCACGGATTTTAACGCTTTATAACACACATTTGAAGCACAATCCCAATGTAATTCTCATTTTTTCGGCAAGTACCGGGCGTATATTATTTTCTAACTGTATGATTCTCGCCTTTACATTTCTTGAACTACTAATGAGAAAAAAATTGATGTATATCCCTAGTATCTGCGTATAACATACACAGGGTCTGCGTATAATATACGCAGAATGTATGCATTTTATATAGGACTTAGTGGATATTTAGCATATTATGGTTTTGTTCAAGGCAGCGTAAAAAATATAAAAGTTTTGTGATATTTTCTGCATTAAAGGGGGTTTCGCAGTATTGTATTGGCCTTCAGATTGCAGAGTTTTCGTCTTTTAAGGTATTTTTGCTCTCCAAAACGAAGGGCCGCAACTTTATTGAGATGAAAATTCTTTCTGGAAGAAGGCTGTTGGCTAAGATATTGGGGCTTAAGGTTTTGTAGTGTAACGTTGGAATAAAACGGTGATGTTTAAGTATCATACATTTTTTAAATGTCTTTATAACAAGATTACTACTGATGAATGAATTTTACGATTACTTAAAACTTAATGTTAGGTGGAGTGGGAACTACGTTGTTTAACGCAATAAATTTTCAGTAATGTCCCCGCAACTATCGAAGGACAGTACGTAGTTGTACTGGTTTCAGATTGTGAAATATATTAAAGATCATTCTTCAAATAATCATATTGAATTTTGCTTTATTGTAGTTCTTTTACATTGGCTCATTGGAATGCCGTCGCCTGCAAGACCCCCTACAATATGAACCGTCAGTTTTGCGCGCGGCTCAGCGATTGTGTCTGGGCTGGACGGCGAAGCCAAGGGCAGTTACGCGTTCAAAGGTATCGCCTCTGCTAGTCTCGTGCCTCCCTCCCCCTCCTCCGTGTCCCTGTCGTGCACCGGTGCCAGATCGGTGTCGGTGCCAAGTGGGGACACCATCTCAAGGCATCCGTAGATTCCGTGCCGTAACTATTATTTAATCCGGCTGCACACACATTGGCACCGCGAACGACCGAGCACTTCGGCGAATCCGTCAGGTGGAGGTGCGAGCGGGAACAATGCGATTTCGGGATCAAGGACAGCATGTTTGCCGCGCCCCGGGCCGTGAAAATGCGTTTCAGGGTCTTGCTCCAATCGATCCGCCACTGATGTACGGGTGCAGCTCCGTTGCACCAAGAGAAACGATGTAAATATTAAATTGCTTGTTGGGTATCTGCTTTATGCTTGTGGGGTAGGAAAACTATGTTTTTTACGGATTTTTCGTGATATCAGTAACACATTTTGCAACACTTGGCAAAAGTGTTGGTGTTTTTTTAAGTTGAGTGGTCGGAGAGGAGCTTTTCTGAGCCTCCTCGCTGTAGTTATTTTGGCGTGGCTAGAATATCAGTTCTACCCACGCCCGCTATCGTGTTCCTAAACCCTGGAGCTTGCATTTCAGACTCACGGGAAATGAACTGTATGTATTAATGCATTAAATGTATGATACTGGTGACACCAACGGTATTGACGAATTATTCTAAAATTATAACACGCCAATATTTTAGATTTATTTTTAAAACGATATAAAAATGCACTTATTTTTCTGCACATTGGTTAATATTGCTGTTTCTTCTCTTTTTCTGACTCCTGTCTGACATCTCTCCCACTGTTTGGCTTCCCTCTTTCTCTATTTGTTATCTCGTTGTTATTTATGTCCCATTATTAACTTTCTCATTCGCTTGTACTTTTATTGTAATAGTATCAGGTTATCAGGTGTTAAAATTTCCAATTATGTATCGTAATTCAACCTCTCCATGTTTTGTTTAGAGTGAGACTACTCATTTTATCTCATCATCTTATTTTAATGGGATGAGAAAAACTACTAAATGAATGTTCAAGACGATCGAGTTGGATTTTTAACTTTTCATTATATATTTTTAAAAATAGCATGTCACAATTTGATTTATTGCAAATAAGCTATTCCTTCTGTTGTCATATTTATGAACGTGCTTATTAATAATTCATTTCTTTTCGAGAAAATAAATGTCTGCCAGTTTTTTGTCAAATTAAAAAAAAAAACTTTTTCTTTTAAGCAGGTAAGTCTAAATCTGGAAACATGTATGTTATCTTTGACGTTATTTGTTAAACAAACCTTACTAGATTTTCCTAGATTTTTTCGATCTTCTTGAATCGCGCTGACAAAACGTTCTTCCTTGTTGTTGATCGTATTTTGTACAATGATTCAGCCGATTCGACTTACGTGCCGAAAACATATTCCATCTGCACCCTCTATGAACATATTCCGAAACATATTCCTCGTACACCCTAATAGGAAGAATCCCCGGGGGATTCTGGACAACAAGAGGGAATTGTTTAGCGCATTGTTGCCGCCATGTTGCTACCGCGCTAGACGCGCGCGCTGCCTGGCGGCGAACACAGGCACCGCAGCGCCACCGCACGCGCGGACCTCTGCACAAATATGGCCCGGCTCGGCGGCGGCGACGCCCGTTGGCAGAGCAGAGAGCGCGGGCGCGGCGGCGGCGGGTAGTAAACGTCTCAGCCCCGCGCTCTTATAAATAGTATCGTCGGTTTACGCTGCTATTTTGGCGGCGCTGTGGCCCACTCGCAGGGTGCCCGGGAGCCGAACGCCCCGCCGCCGCCGCTGCAGGTAGCCGGGGCCCGCTCCGTCCTGCCACCACGGCCGGCGCGCGGTTATTTCGAGATACGATTCGCGCCGAGCCGGTGTTCGATTCATTCGGCCCTCCCTCATTGTTCCTTCTACGAAGAAATTTTTCCCTCCCTACCTCAACATATCATTGAATTCGGAGGCTTCGACAAACCGCCCCACCAATGCAGCCATTGAGCGGACCGTGGCAGGACGGGGTGGGCAGCCGTGCGAATACTTGGGGAGGTCGTTGGGTGATGGGCGGGGGATGGGGTGGGGTGGCGGGGTGAAGATGCAGGTCGTTAATTGGAACTGGAAAGAGGCCGGTTCAATGTCGTTTAATGCATTTTGATCTGCCGTGATCATTTTTACTTCTATTGTGTGTTCTACTACCGATATGAATCAATTGGATAATGTCATGGAAATTATACAGGTCTTTGGTTTCGGAATAAAAAAAGGCAGATAAAAAAATTGATTGTGACGTTTTCACAGAATGAAAGTATACGTTTTTGAATGTTATGGTAAAAGACGTGCAATTTTGTATGTATTATTAAGTCGTTTATAGATCAAGAGTAGATCACGTTCAGACAAAGAAGCAATGGAGATGAAGAGTATCGATAACTCAGGTTGGGTAATCAACGATTCCGTAGTGTGTTGTGTAGTTGGAACGATATCAAGTATCAAATCGAAAGCAGCCCCACGCTGTGAGTAGCTGGAACGCGGGTCTGGCTGCTGCCAGGCGGGGGAGCCAGTGAGTCATGGCGACGGGCAGGCGCTTGGAACGGCTCGACTGCCACTAAAATCCACGAATTATGGTTTCGAGTGTTTGCGCTGCTTTCACTTCTCCACGTGGCCGCCGTTGGGGTTCCATGCTATAGATCTTAGTTTACATTCAGTAAAGAGGCGGGGATGGGGGAAATGTATTGAAAATTCCTCGAATGGCACGAATGTGTGAATATTGCAATACTTGGTCTGTCAATATTGTAGTAGAGAAAATTTATTGCGTCTGGATTTATTACAGGGGAATGTGTTATGTATTGAGATAGTATATAGCTTACAAGTAAAGAATTATAGCTGTTGGTGGATATTAATAATAAAACGCATCTTCGTTTCGAATTATCATTAACTGCCGTATAATATAATATAAGAAAGAAATAAGCGTTTGAGGTCAAAATAAGGCAACTGAGACACAATAAAAAATATAAAAAATTGCCTTTGGTCATTGACATGAACAATATTTTTACATTTTTACAGATGCATGTGCATGTGCGGGAGTGCTTGTCCTCTTAGGCAAAATATAATTGCACTCGACAAAAAAAGGTGAAATAAATGTAGCTTAATGTTGGCATTAAGTAAATGAAAATGAAATAGACGAGTGCAGATACTAAGGAAAAGAAAAAAAAATGGTTCAAAATAATTGAGAACAGAAAAACATATATAAATGGTACGTCAAGAAGTTGTGAGTGAATAAAATTAATGGCAAAGTTCAGATAGAAGAACGCAGGGAGTTTCAGGGAAGGAGAATGAGATGAGGAAATTGAAATGTGAATTTTTATTGACAAGTGACGAATATCTGTTGGTTATAAGGCCTGTGGAGTATTGTCTATTTGGGCTATTACCCGGAGTTATTTTGAAGTATTTTGTTAATCTTCTTGTTCCACAATGAGCATTTGTGTTTATTCTTTCTCGGAGAACAATGCAAAAAAAAATTTATTTATGAAATTGACGATTATATCCAGGTCCTTTGCCTTAATTTTAGAAGCCAGTTTTGTATCTTACAGTTACGTGGTGTCACCAGAATTCTCACAATGTTTTATATATTTCGTTTAGTATGTAAAGTATCAATTTAGTAAAATAAACACGTGGGATACAATGAATTTAGTGTAATCTACTAAAGTCATGCACAGGGGGGCATTTTCCAAGTCACTAGTCGTCGCAGAGATATTTCTTGTCCAATGAGCCTTTGCGGGGGCCCTTTCGTAGCTTTCGTGCCTTGTGGTGGTGCTTTTCGGTCTATTTCTGTACCCCTAAATGAAGCTACTGCAATTCTTGAGAAATGGCAGACATATAATTTGTATTTTTTTCACGAATGTACTGTTGTGTGTGCATGCACCGGTGAACACTTAATCCCTCGAATTCTAACAGAAATAATCTCAGTGGGTAAGATCATGGGATCTGAGAGACTACAGTTCGCGGCTGATTCTTTCGTGTTATTTATTTGCTGATTTCGCAAGATTTGTGGAAGGCACTGGACGAGAAGGTGCCTTAAGAAAACCTGAAGGATTTACTGGTGAATGAGGACTAGTTTTAGCACCATGAGGTGGGCACAAGGCGACGAGGAATTTGAAGATTAGCAAAAGATCCGCAGCAATCCCGCACTGGGGTATATAAGGGTCGTTGGCCGAGAGAGGTTTGTGCGGCGGTCCAGTCACTTAAAGTATCCCCATTGTATTATAAATTGGCAGAATAAATAGTGAAGAACGTACGTTGAAAGAGTAAGGTTTAAACAACAATCTGTAGACATATCGAGGAGAAAACGACCTTGAGACGGGTGTAGGAGTCTCTTGAAAGATATAGGATCCTCTCTCAAGGCTCTGTGGAAATCTCTCCGGGCGACGTTTCTTAGAGCTAACTGATGCCACATGATTGACGCCCTTCGTCTGTGACGCAATCCAAGAGCATCAACTGTCCCCGATACCGAACGCATATGATATCACATTGAACGACGCAGGGGAAGACGCCCTGCGACAACCGGTGGTTAAGTGGACGCGCAGCTTCGAATCGAAATTTTAGCACCTACGCAGTGAATGGTCTTTTTTCTCCCTTTGCGGTTCACCGACACTGTTCGATACGTACTTGCCCTTGAGCTTGGACAGCTGGTCGATCTGGTCCTGGAAGTCGACGACGATCTCATGGTGCTTCTTGCGCAGGAGGTTGGCGGTCTCCTCGGACTCGAGGTGCACATCCTCCAGCAGCTTGCGCAGCTTGGTCAGCTCGGTGTCGCGCCTGCGGTTGACCTCGACCTGCGCATGCGCACGACACACATTCAAAACACTTGCAACAATATTTCCTGGTGGTGAAAATATGCAGTTATTACGATAATTATGGTGTGAGCAAATGTGTACGGTGGATCTAAGATACTCAAACTTCAAACGCTTTTCCTTGATATATTTAAAAAAAAAAAAGAAAAAAAAAAATTGTTTCGCCGTTTCAAAGAGGTTCAGTATTTAGTGAGTGAAATTTTGTAACTGGGAGGTATTCTGTAACTGAAGTATTTCATTTTCGCATCCGTATTCTGTTTATCGTTTACTACTGTTCGTCTCGTCTCTCAAGCTTCCGATAAGATCTGCCAGACAACTAACAAACTTACAAAAACTAGAGCATTTTACAAGAAAAAAAATAGCAAAAAAAATCTGCGTGTATATTTCCGTTCTCCGTAATATAATTCTGTTTATTACACTTTTCCATTTATAATGTAATATGAAAATCATTTTATAATGAAATGTGACTATAATGTTCTTGTTCTTTTAACGTCAATAACTTGTTACCATATTGTTTTTTGCTGAGACTTTTAGAAACAAATATTATTTACATTTAGTAGTGTAGTTTTTAGTCTAGAAATTTATACAATTGACAATGTCTGAAAAAATTGTTCAGTATGTTCTTAGTGCAAATTATGAATATGGTTCTCTTAACTATATAAATAATATAGCAACTAATTGATTTGAATGTTGTCGAAATTAAGTTCGGGAAATTTGAACTTTGTACTTGAAGGCTACATTCTTTGTCTTTCATTTTAATAATGAATTATAAAAAAAATTTTTGTTTTGATCGTGTTAACAATTTCCACACTTATTTTGACATGTGATTAAAATTCACGTTGACGCATTGTCTCTCCTTGACTTGAAAATGCATATAATTTGAAATACAATCAACTGAACGTTTATTGACAGTGAATCAGTTAGCTTGAAATGGGCGCTCTGTAACTTAAGTCAATTATCAGTCCCGTAAGTGTGATGCATGATATATCTCAAGATGTGGGGGTGTTTCCTCTTCAATCGGTGCGTGAGATCCAGCGCCGACCTACACGTCTGCTCGCAGGATTTTCGCCGTCCAGGTGCCTGCCAAGAGCGGGGTCCACCCCAGCTGGGACTAGCTCTAAGCTGGCTGTCCCCGCCACACGCGGCAGTGTGTTTGGAATGTGTGTGGTGGAAGTAGTGAACGAGGGGTTGGCTCACCTGGGTCTCAGCGCCACCCTCGGCCTCCTCCAGTCGCTCCGACAGCTGGATGACCTGAACGCTGAGGTCTGCCTTCTCGCGTTCAATCTGCAGCAGAGGTCAAAGCCAGGGTCACTCTCGGCAGTTATGGAGATAGAAAGCATTCCAATCTTTCTAAGCAACTATTGGAATAAATTATAACCATTTTTTGTTTTGTATAACCTGTAATGTATTCATTAATGATACATTTTCTAACTTTGAAATATTATAAATCATGATACTATCTTAGAGTTCATTTCTTAATAATTTTTTTCAGATTTGTGTACAATAATCTGGTAGTTACTGAAATGTTTCCATTGTGCCAAAATTTGCAAATCAGAGTTCTTGTGAAGACAATTTTGCAATAATTAAGATTTATTTTAATTTTATTTATCTTCATTTCATTTTGAAAGAGGATTTTTTGGAAAAAGTCCGAAAGTGAATTTAAAGACTATTTTAATGCTAAGTAATGTAGTAAGTAAGTAGTAGTAAGTAATGCGTAGAATGCGAAGTAAGTTCTACATTTTACTACAAACTAACTACATTTCTTAAAGCGGAGTCTTGTAAAGTTTGGAAAGGTTTAGTTTAAGAATATTCATGGTGGAGTGTGTAATAGTGTAATACAATCAGCACGAAGGGTGACGATCGAAATTAAACGAATTCTTACGGAAAACGCATGGTTCCGAGTTAGGGACCCGGTAGAATAAAATATTTGCACTTCATGACAATCTATTATCAGTACGTAACGATTCCTATGATAAATCAGTTTATTTAACCTGAAGTAAAAGGGAAGAGAACACGCCTGAGAAAAAGGTATCTTTTGTGATTTTGAGTATTGAGTGTCTTCATGTAGGCTCATTTCATTTCATCTGTTTCCGACATCACGGTGAAGTTTATTTACCTTGCCTTTTCACCATCATCTTTTGTGAGCATCGTACAACACCATGCACTTTGATGTCTGAGCGGTTCTTTACATTTGGGTGCCAAGTTTCAGTTGAACCCGTTGTTTGTACTCGTAGAGCGCAAGCCAGGAACGGTATCCGCACGTCTCTTCGGTTCGTCACCTGACCTCATTAACCCGTCACCAAACCTTATTCCACTTCAGATAATTAGATTCCTAATCACGGTGCAAATGATGCTTCCGTACTAGGATCACAGAACCTCGATTTATCCCTCTAATCTAGCAGTTTCTGGGGCGTGTCGCTTCAAATAGTTCCCCTTCACAGCAGCTAGAGCGCGCCGCGCTCGCTCCCAAGAAAACGTCGCTTCGCTTTCCCGCTTGGCGCGCCGCCTGAAAGCCGAAGTGCCTGTGCGGCATCGCACCTCGCAAATCCACCCTCGACGCCCCGCGAACGCGCACACGACTGGGTGCATGCGCGCGCATGCTTTCCGCGAAGCCGAAGGGGGAAATCTGGGTACACGCGCGAGTTAAAAATACGCGCGCGGTAACGTTTTCGCCCGCTGAGTCGTCGCGGTCTTTGGCCTGAATCCGTGGCATCTGCTGTTAGTAGGAGGGAATATGAGCTCAGGCATGAGTCAGGTGAGCTAAAGGGAACGAAACAAAATTAAATAATGGAAGGGGAATGAATAATAAGATGCAAAAAGATGAAGAACGAGACGTAGGAAGAAACAAAGATAAGGACGGGACGTCTGCAAATTAAAAGGTGAAGACCGGAATGTAGTACGAGGGGATAAAGTAGGAATATAGAGTTAAAAAAAACAACAAAATCAAGGCAGAAATATAATGGAAATTTCAATAACACATGCATTTAGACAGAAAGATAAGATGAAAGAGTAAGAAGAAATGTAGAGGAAATAACTGAAAACTGTGGGTGAACAGAATGGAGGATTGTGAAAAAATGGGAAAAAAGAGAAATACTCGAATGGAAGAGGAACTGATGGTGAGTCACAGAGACCAATAAATTGGCAGAAATATGGAGAATCAGAAGATAAAAGAGTGTGAGAAAGCAAGAGGGAGCGCCAGATGCCGAGACGAAGACATGTTTTTAGAGAGCCATTGGAACGAAGGGGTTGTAATATAGGAACTCACTCTAGAGGCGTGAGTGGATTCCTTTTTATGTTATTTTCAAAAACCATATTTCACGCGTCCCCTTTGGCCGAGAGGGGAGGGGCGGGGAGAGACGCAGAGGGGCTGAGGCTGGTGAGGCGGTAGGGCTGGCGGCTATAAGCGGGACCTGAGTCACCGGCGGGCGTCTCGGACGCCACCAGATCGCGCTGGCATCGCTGACGGCAGCGACGACGGCGTTGACTGTGCTGCCGATGACGGCGACGGCTTCGCCGGCGCGGCGAGGCGGTGACAAGGGGGATGTGCGACATCGCGCCGACTCCCTGCCCCCCCCTTTCCTTCTACCCCTTCCCCCAGCTTCCGATTCTGCTCTAAACCATGCGGCCGGTGACTCTTGCTTCGGTGAAGGGTCACCGGCGCGAGCGGCTGGCCGCGAGAAATGGTTGCAGCTTAGAAATTGCATGAACTACCACAAATTTAATTCGGAATATTGATCTCATTTCCAACACTCAGAAGAGGACATTTAGCGCGGTGACCGCCAGACAAACAGAAGTGAACGTTGCTCGCGCTTCACACATTCTTCTGTACTACAGCCCTCACAGTCAGTACGACCATAGAGACTTTTACTTCGTGCAGGAGTGTCAGTTGCCACTAACACCTTTTTCTCAATTCCGTAAGCACACATGCCCCAGCATTTATTCAGCAACGTGTGCAGCCTGCGGGGGCGTTGTAACGCGCATTTTCCATCTCTCCTTTCCGGCGGAATGATGGAAATCTGATGCCCTACCCCAGACGAGGACAACTCACCCTCTGACCACCAGGCGAACAGTAGTTAAACACTTTCTCACCTCACATTCCCACGAACTATACGCCTTCACAGCAAACATGATTGATTAGTAATTCCGCGAGAGTCAACTTCTAAGGTTATTAGTTCTCTAAGAGTTGTCCATGTTCTTATGCACATGATCTTCCCACGCTGGATGGCGTGATCCAACCTCGACCTACCGTCGGGGAAGGGGAAGGAAAGATCGCGCGAGGCCATTAGCTCGTTTGTTAAGTTTCTGCTCTGGTATTCACCTGGTGTTGATCAGAGAAACCAAGGAAAACTACTGATTAGACCAGCTTGACATTAGAATTATTCTACAGACAGCGGTTGAATTCAACCTAGGTGACAAGTTAGTGTGGACAATCCTACCAAAATCGGGATTAGAACCCAAGGGCCTCCCGGTCAGAGGCACTGCAATAACATGAATTGATACCCTGAGCCACCATTACGGGTTTGGGTTCTCATTCCCTACCCCAGACGAAGACAACTCTCCTTCTGAACACCGGGCAAACAAAAGTTAACGATCCTCCCACCTCATGCATTCCCACGCACTACACTCCTCCGCAGCCAACACGACCTTTGCGTCCTTTTACCCGAGAGGTCGACGCGGGACGCGCAGCCCCCGTTTTAGCACGGTTTGTTTGCACGCGTTCCTCTTTTTTTTCTCTCTCTCGCGCGCCGCCTGCCGCCGCGCGTCAGCCGGCGCGGTGAAATTTAGCAGCGTGCGCGCACGCACCCCCCACCCCCGCCCTCTCGGCCGCGACGCCCGTCACTGCGGGGTGCACCGCGAGCGTCACTCGCGAGAGCTACGCGACCGCATCCGGGGCTTCTGACATTAAACGAAGTTGCGGGAGCGGAGTCGTTGGCTTTGGGGCTCCATCACTTTATAAATTGGTCTAAACGATTTAGAAAAAT